AGCATCTTTTCCATCGAACCATGGCTGATTGTTCCACGCGGAGCTGCAACTACCAAGCTCTCGTACTTTTAGACCTACAGTATTTCTTATTTTTCAATAAACCTATACAAATTGGCAGTCAGTTGCATAATCCTAGGAGTCGTTTATAAACATGTCTTGCTATATCTCTACCTAAAATAAATGATTTAATCCCCAATAGTACTCAGAGGGGACAGGCGGGGAATAGGCGTCAGTGTCACCAATGTGAAAAAATAAAATGTGAGAAAAATTAGCTTTTTTTAGAATCTTGTGGGATTAAATGTACTTAGGTATTTGACATCATGATGTCAAATACCTCAGCACATTTAATTCTAAACACGTCAGAAACTGGAACACATTAAGCCTAGTTTTCAAACTGTGCGGCTATGAAAATAAATCATGCAATCTTGTCCTATAATGACCAACGAGAAATGTGGCTGAATAGAAAGGTTATGATATCATAATTACTCGGTATTTTGATGTGTATATAATGGTCTTAAAACCTTTGTGTTCCTGGAAAAATTCCAGGATTGGGCTCAAAATTGAAGACATAACCAAATAACGCCTCTCCAATATTCCTCGTTTTAATAGTATCAAAGTCACTATGGTCAGCATTGGACTGTCGAAATTATTGAGAAGTTCAGAATATTGAAATGGATATAACAGCGGTCCCAGGTTGGAAGAAATCATCCATTCCGAGGGATCTGGTTAATGAGCTTCCTTAATATATATTCAATTTTAATTTACTGCTCATGGCGATACCCATCGGCAGGGACTTCCGTGAGACGATTGATAATAAAATAGTAAAAACATACAACTATTATGAATTTGCGGGAGATGGGTTACTTTCTGGGAGATGTTTCCTTGCTTGCAAGAGAGGAGGCCGTCCCGATTTTCTAGAGACTCCGCGACTTCGGACCCCTCTGACATAAGCTCTGCCCTTAATAAATAAATAAATAAATAAATAAATAAATAAATAAATAAGTAAGTAAGTGAGTAAGTAAGTAAGTAAATAAATAAATAAATGAATAAATAAATAATAATAATAACAATGATAATAATAATAATAAGTATAATAAAGATAATTTTTATGATGATGATAATGATGATGAGTACTGCATATTAGGTTTCTAGGTTTCCTGCGTTAATTTTTCATTCGTTTTTATATATTGATCTTGATGAATTGTTGTTTTTCTATGTTTCAAATATTTGTAAATAGACCTATATTCCTAATGTTTTTATATTTGTAAATTTTAATAATTTTATATTGTAACCATTTGTTGTAATTCAGTTTTTAACTGCGGCACATTTTGGAATAAACCTTGAATGAATGAAAAAAACACATGAAAATGTACCAACAAAGAGGGCAGTATAGTTAACAACAAAAGTTAGCGGTCCTTGGAAGGTAGCTCTGGATAGCGGGGATAGAGGAAAAAAATTTCTGCGGTCCTGAGATAGGCCTATATATTTTTTTCATTTTAGATCATTTTAAAGATAATAAAACATGCAGCACTAAGAACAAATGTTGTAAATCCCAAATTGTATTTCATTACTTCTGGTGTCGGCCAACTTCGAATGAAATTTCCTAATTTTCCTAAAAGAATCAGTAGGCCTCATCAGCACACAATGTTTGAACAAATCTGGTTGTTGATTTGCAGTCTTTTCAGTATAATTGTTTACAAGCCAATTCAATGCACATGCAAAATAAGTATAGGCCTTAAATGGTAATATACATATTATATTTCACCAGAAGTGCAGACAATTGGGAACTATAATATTAATAATTAATATCACCATAAGTACAATGTGTACAGAAATCTAGAGTTTCAATAATTACCTGAAGTACTACATTTATCAATTATTATCAGTCACCATAGAATCAGTCAATGTTGTCAGTCGACGAACCCATCTCCATTATATATGAGCGCTTTACGACGCGACTCGCCGTCAGCGGTTCGTCGAAAACAATTTTGTCGCGCGGCAATGACGTGAAACGAATGATTTTCGTAAAATGCAAGTGCAGTCACGCTTCTGCTAATGTTTCCGAGATGACCTAACCATCACTCATCGTATTTGTATGAGGTTGTGAAACTTCATTTAAAGTCATGCGACTTGTTCTCCTGGTTTCACATAAACAGTCAAATAAATTATGTAAATAGGCCTAATACAGATTGAAAGCGGTATCTCGATTTCTCGATAGTTTTGGGAAAATATAAAAATATCTCCACCAGGTCATGCACACCACATTATGTTACGCTCTATTTGGTAGTCCTACAAGTTGGGCAGCGCATGAGTTATTCAGTCTTCACAGAGCTTTTTGACTTTTAGCAGGTGACCGCGTGGGGTCATTGGTGGTAGTATATGATTCTTCTGAACACTTTTCGACGTGCGAAGCCCCTGATAAACCAAATCGCGGTCTCCTGAATTATTCAAACACAATCGAAATTGTGATAGAACTTACCTCCGCCAAATGACCCCTTATCAAAGCTATTACCATGGACCGTACCCACAAGTGCACCTGTCTCCTAAATGCCGGGCTCATGGGAAAATTTTACTAGGCCGAAACTTGTTGCTAGTTAAACGATAATAAATACAGTAGCCCTGTCTCTTATACACATCTAGATGTGTATAAGAGACAGATACACTACTCCTCACTCATAAGATAGAGGTGGTACAGAGACCAACAAGGAACAAAGTTTATTTATCATAGCGGAAGTGGTAGGTCTGTTGGACAATTTTCTTGAAAAAGTCTTATTTAATAGTTCCGTTCTTTTTTAAAGAATGAATGATGTATTCCCACCTCCAATACCGTCGTTACATAAATCATTTTGATTATATTTGCAACTGTCATAAATTACTGTAATAGGACTGAAGGACTTTTAATTTAATAAGCAAACAACAGCAAAAGTGCGTGTGGAAGTGAATAATGGATATAAAACTTCAACCAAGCGTACGGGGAAGTAGGCTTAGCCCAGACAATGTGAGAAATAACTAAAACCGAACGTAGACGTAAATTAATGAACAAGCGTTTCCTTCTTCTTACTGAACGCCATTGATCTATTTTGGAAAATTTTGAGCATACTCTGAGGTAATTAACATTATCAAAGACGTCAAAGATTCTTCCTGTCCGACAGCAAAATTACGTAAGAAATTACAAACAAGTTACAATAATAGTTTTCTTGTAATTTTTTTTATTCAATAACTTCGAACCCTATACAATCTAAACATTTTCATCGCTTACAAACACTGAATATTTTTGTTTCAAAAAAAAAAAAAAAAATACATACAATTCAGTTTAAACACATTTGGAAAATTCAGTTTTTCAGTAAAAAAAAAAATCATAGATTTCTTTAACAAAAATCAGTACATAGTGGAACTAATCACACATGACAAAAAACCAACTGAGTGTTTTGAAACCTGGCAGACTACAATATAATAACCACTAGGCCTTCAAATAGATCTCTTTAAATTTCGTATCCTAATTCATGAAAAAAGGTGTGCGATACGCGAGTTATGTGCCCATGTCACGTGTCCACGCCAAATTTTCATCTCGGTCTAAGCTTACAAGGCATGGTCCTTTGTAGCTAGACATGCATAAACCACCGACACGAAATAGGGACATTAACAAATTCACTGTTCATAGTTTATAAGTTTGCATGCAAGATATTCACTCCTCTAGCATAATGCCTATTTAAAACATAAAACAGTAACATACATTCGATATGGCTTTTCACTCATGAACTTGAGTCCACTGATCAGTTCAATTAAAATAAAAATATTCTGATCTGACCAGCATAGAATGGCTGTATCCTTATCATTTTACGCTTGTTGACTATAAAACACACGTGGGAAAGAGATATCATCATGGTCGCACCTGCGTTCAAACGACCCTCGTACACGTAGCAAGGAAGCCTAAATGCATAGCAAAATCGATAGATTGTAAATTGATGCACCTCTCTGTCATTTACAGTGATCAATTGTATATCAAAATATGATTTGTTTCCTGCAATACATTGTAAAAAACAAATGCAGATTTTCGGAGCTCATAAAAACACCCTCTATTCTCATGTCACATTTTTTAACTTGGAATTTACATTTTACTTCACTTCATAAGTGCATTTTTATATTATATTATCTTTATATAACCAAATTTCTAATACCAACAATCTTGAAACAAAAGTCAGTGCTTAAATATGTGTGCTGAATTAAAGAAGTCTTACATTACTAGGAATTCCCTCCATGCACTTGAAGGGCTGTCTCTTATACACATCTAGATGAAGAGGGGGAAGATGCATCAATGTGTGCACAATTGATGCTGAATCCAAAAGGGGTAAGAAAGTACACTGACCTTTCAGAAATGGATATATACACTATATAAATCCTTATTTTAAAGTAATATGTCCCAACATTCTTCAGAGGTATGTATTAGCAGCACTCTGCTTGTAACAGTGCTCTTTACCGAATAGAGCAAAAACACATGGCATATAATTACAGTAGAATTCCTCCTTTGGGACATTGTTATTAAGGGTACACCTCTATTAAGGGGACACTTTTGGCCACAAAATGAATGAAAGCACATCTTTTAACACTATAGCCAACCCCTATTCAGGGGACAACCCTTTTAAAGTGGAATAATCTAGAACGATTTGCCTTAATGGAACAAAACAACAAAGTGACAGAACTCCTTTCAAAAAATGACTTGGTGTTTATATAAAACCAGGAAATTTAAAGTAAAAATGAAATTTCTAGAATGGTATGCCTGACTGAATATAACAAAACAAGATTGTGACAAAGTTAGATATTCTAGAATTATAGGCTTGAATGGAAGGAACAAAACAAGCATTTTCCAAAAACCGAAAGGTCCACTGATTAATCTCAGATAAGAAAGTATAATACATACTCCAAGTATTGAAATACACGTCATCGTGTTGGGATTCAATATTTCGACATTAATTATGTCATCATCAGGAATTCCTGATGATGACATAATTAATGTCGAAATATTGAATCCCAACACGATGGCGTGTATTTCAATACTTGGAGTATGCATTATACTTTCTTAAAACAAGCATATGATTTAGTCCATTTAAAGTACAAATGAAATCTAGAATGATATGCCCTACTGGGCACAAAATATGCATACCCCTGAATTTCCTCACTTTAACTGTATTATGCAATACATCATTCTTTAAAAATTTTCAAATCACATTTTTAATGTTATTTCTGTATAAATAGCTACACAAGGCACTTTTAGTTATACAAGTCAACAATCATTACATTACAGAGTAGATTAACATGAGAACAAATACAATTTCAATTCATTCATGATCCTAAACTTCTCATAACAATATTTTTTTCAGTTGCCATGGATAATATGTACATCATTTTCACATTTTATGTGAGCATTTTCAGTCTTCTATGCAACTCTTGGTAACTTATTCGTCGTCAGGACTGTAGGAAGGCGACGAAGGGGAGTAGGTCTGCGATGATGTAGGAGAGTATGTTGAATCTTTCGGACTTGTGGGTGAATATGTTGGGGAGCTCGGACTGTACTTTGGACTCGTTGGTGAGTAACTAGGCGAAGTCGGGCTGTATTTCGGACTAGTAGGTGAGTAGCTAGGGCTTGTTGGCGAGTACTTGGGGCTCGTCGGTGAATATTGCTGGCTTGCGGGTGAATAACTTGGGCTAGTCGGCGAGTAAGATGGACTAGTCGGACTGTAATTAGGAGATGTCGGTGTATACTTGGGTGAGCTTGGACTGTAGCTAGGTGATGTTGGGCTGTATGATGGACTAGTGGGCGAGTAATTGGGGCTCTTTGGCGAGTAACTTGGAGAACTCGGACTGTAGCTTGGGCTCGTCGGCGAGTAACTTGGTGAAGAAGGGCTGTAACTGGGTGAGGTTGGACTGTAACTTGGTGAAGACGGTCCGTAGCTCGGGCTCGTCGGCGAGTAGCTTGGAGATGTAGGCGAGTACTTTGGAGATGAGGGTGAATAACTTGGGCTTGTTGGGCTATAACTCGGGCTCGTTGGACTATAACTTGGACTTGTTGGGGAGTAGCTGGGTGAAGTAGGACTATAACTTGGGGAGGTTGGGCTATAGCTTGGAGATGTAGGCGAATAACTCGGAGATGTTGGGCTATAAGAGGGACTAGTCGGCGAGTAGCTTGGAGAAGTTGGGCTGTAACTTGGACTAGTGGGTGAGTAACTTGGCGAAGTTGGAGAATAACTTGGACTAGTTGGTGAGTAACTGGGGCTAGTTGGGCTATAGCTTGGGCTAGTTGGACTATAACTAGGACTGGTTGGTGAGTAACTCGGGCTTGTTGGCGAGTAGGTTGGGCTCGGCGGCGAATAACTCGGGCTGGTAGGCGAGTACGACGGTGAGGTTGGTGAGTATCCTGGACTCTGAGGTGTTACGCCACCGGGTGAGTCTGGTAGGTAAGCAGGTGACGATGGAGAATAGCCAGGAGATAATATTCTGCCGGGAGATGGGATGTAGGGGCTAGCCATGGGGGAGCCTGGTGACTGCGGCTGTGGTGACCAGCCTGGGCTATATGCCGGGCTGATACCACTGGCATCCGAAGCTGCAGATGGACTAAATCCTGGTCCTCCTGGGGTCATGCCGCTTCCTGAAAGATCAAATAATTGCCAAAATAAACATCTAAAAAGAACACATTTATTAATGAAATAAGCAATAATAATATTTTATATATAACAAATGTATACTTAATGTGAATATTCTTCGATTGTAAAAGGAAAAATTTAACTAAACATATTTTTTTTTTTCATTTTGTTATCTATATATATTGCACTTTCTCTATTTTTGCTTATTTACTCTTTCTTTAAATTTGTTTTAAAATTACATGACTAACTTGCTTCTGATGTAACAGAAGTTAAATGTATCGGTGTATTATTAACTTACCAACAGCTGGTGACCAAGCTCCATACGCGGGTGTATTCCCAGACCCCCATGGTGTCATCTGGGGTGACATACTACTGCTGGGGGAGTGTCCGCCACCAAGGAACATGCCGGGCATACCGGGCACTGTGGACAAGGAAAATACAAAACAATTAATATCTATTGAAAGCAATTCCCAATTGGAAGGAAAATATTCTGTTGACAAGGTTGTTATGACTATCAATGGCTCTCTCCTTATCTTAACAGTCTTTAATATAGATCCCTGGATAAAATATTTGCGAAACGCCAGGATTTCTATCTTACGAATAACAACAACTAATGGCAACTCTGCTGTACCACCATGAAAATCAATATCAGAACTAATCAGAAACAGGCCAACAGAAGGACCTGACGACTCTCTGGGTAAAAATAGTAGGGGAAAAACACACAAAAAATATAGCCAAAAACCACTCCAACTGGCATGACAAGCTGCATGCCATTAAGTGTCCATAATTTATAATCATCATCAATCACTCAATTAATTATTTGTACGAATTATTTTACAAAATTCAAAAACAATAATAATAATAATAATTTCCATTATTATAGCTATAATTATTATCATTATTATATTCTAATTTTTCTCTCTTTATAAGGAAAACAGCTTCAGAACAAGGTTTGAAGCTGTTTACATTTGTTTATCCTTTCGAATGTTACATTTATTCTTCATTTTACATTTTTTATGTTTAATTCTATTGCTTGTATTCAAGTTGCCAAACTTCAAACCATGGAAGACCAGTGCTTATGTAATGAATTAACCAACCAGAATATAGATTCCAATTGAATTGAAGTGAAAGTTAGTTTGTGCACCACAAGAACGTCAATATTATCAAAGTACTTACTCATTCCTGGACCCATTGTATGTATAGGTATTTCCATTCCATATTTACACTTCTCAGCATCTAAAAGCAGATCGAAGCAGCCTGTGCCAGCACTGGCTAGCTTGCCTAGCATGATGTTTTCACTGACCCCTTTCACAAAGTCAATTTCAGCATGCGCTGCCGCTTCAACCAAAATATCAACCTGGAATTTAAACAGGACACTATTTGTCAAACACATTAACATAATGAGTACTGCTTTATCTCATTTTATATCTGATAAGTACTTAAACATTCAGTTGTTTAATAAGATAATCACAAAAAATCTCACAAAATAAATTTTTAAATGTTTGATTGCTCATTATGAAGAATTAAATATACACTTGTGCATGAATTGCAGACAATTAAACTTTTAAAAACACTTTTGGTGATATTAAATTTCTATTACAACTAAATTAAATATTTCAATCATGTGCCAAATTTCCTAACTGATTTATGCATTGTAATAATTTCCAACAGTATTTTCAATAAATGAAACCAACATAATTTTCAATGAGTGAAACTCTGTTCGTGGAAATGGAGTTTTTGAAAATCATGCAAACTAACAATAACAGAAAGAGAGATATTTATTCGTAGAGGAAAAGTTACTACTACTATTCATAGCATTCAGACAGAAACCATTTTTAATTAATTACTCGATATAAGTTGATAACTTTACAAAACTACAAATCTCAGGTTTTCCCCTAAAGTTTTGAAGTTTCTATCAGAGAATACATGACTGAGGCTTGGCATTCCAAAACCAGCGTACTGTCACTAAATGTTAAGCCGCGTAATTAGCATAAGAATGTGACAGCACTGTATTGTATGCTTCAGTCCAGAGAAGCCATAATACTTTTATTTACGCATAACTTTGGAAATAGTAAGTCTAACCCAGTAAGTGACCTTTCATTTTAAAGCTTATAATGTTGAGAATATGAATATATTAAAAGGTCAATTTAAAAGGTCACATATGTTAATTTTGGCATGGCTAGCCCCAACTAAACTTATAATAGGGACTTTACACAACGGGACAGGAAAACAGGGACGGTGGTTCTGTGCTCATCAGAGCATGAAGACCATATCACTTGGGCACTTAACCCAAATTGTCGTCGACGGCTCTCCGTCCTCAAGTGTAAAATGCCTATCATGAGGTGGGTTGACCATGCCTGCTGCAGTTTAAAAAATTGTAACACAATAAAAAGTAACTGGATTCAAACACAGGACACTGAGATTGTAAAGTTGAATGCTAAAGACTTACCGTTTCTTCAAATGAACACCTCATGAGGGCACCAACTTCCTGTCGGTTGACGCCATGACGAGTGATAGCCATAAGATGACCTCTCTGGGTCATCACATCACAGAGTAATGCCAAGTGACGATAGTTTACATATGATCCATCAAACGAGATCACGTGGTTCATTTCTTTTTCCACAGCTTTACGTACAGCTTCAATACCAAGCACCTGATTAAACAAAAATATATGATTAATGGAAGAAAGCATTTATGGCTGTGAGTGAAATACTTACCTGGATAAACCAATACATGCCCATTTTTATGAACTTACCTCGAAAACAATAAATTTGACCCAGGTGTATATAATGCAACAGTGTTATGTAACAGGGCTTATTGTGAGGTACGCATTCCCAAAATAATTCATTAAAGAAGTGAAATCGAACAAAAACAAGAGATTTAAGATGAAAATGAGAGAAAATTAGTGTTTAATTATTTTGGTGGATGATGAAACATGGGCAATTACTCGAATAATTTGGATGACTGGAACTGGGTGCTGAGGTTGATCTAGGGTATCGCTACTATATAGAAGTTATTAAAACTATTTGATTTTCTGTTTACATATAATTAACATGTTGGACTTCTCACCTGGAAAATCTCACAGATGTCATTGGACGTTGTGCGTACCGGATCGACATCCTTGTCACTTAGTACCTGCATCAAACTGGTACCATCTGTTTCCAGGATCCACTCCTGTATTGCTTTAAATTCACCTTCTTCGGTGATGATAATTCTTTTCTTGTTGTCCATTTGTGGGAGATGCATGTACACCTGTAAATTAATCAGTGTTTAAATTTTAGTATTTATTTATTTTACTTTATTTTCCTGCATTTTTATAGAGCAGAAATCATTCTAATGCCATTTAACTCACTTAATTGATGCACACTTGATTTACTCTATGCATATTTTTAACAATTTTTATACACACATTGTTGTGAACTGCATGTAGAGATTAGTCTACAGGTCAAGATTGCAAATATTTCAAAACACACAAGGCTAAAGATGTTAGGTGGCTTGTGCAACCAGCAGGATCCTCAACCGAGTGCCACGCATCATAAGAAGTTTCAGTCCAAAACTACAATTTATAGATTGAGAACACTTCACTAATTTTACAACACTAGTCTGTGGTTGATATCTTGTTGTTGACTTGGGGTGCAGTTTATCCAATGCAACAAAACCATCATGATATAAAATGTATCCCGCATAGTACTATACTAAAAATGACCATAAGTTTTTATTAGAATAGCGAATTAGTTCCACATTCTTAATTTTCACACCCCAAGGCATTTTACACCCAAGAACAAAACCAGCTTATGCCCCTGTCCCATGTCAGGAAGGTCTAAAGAGAGAAACAGTCACATGGAACTCCTAGGTTACAAGCTTATTTTCTATATAGTCCTGTATACCTGAAAAAATATGGGATTACAAATACCACTGTATAGTTGAACAAATACAGGATTACAGATACCAGTGGTCTTAGGTGCTACATAACATTAAGAGAAAAGGTAAGTGAAGTGAAATAGTTGCCAAGGAATGTATATTATAGATAAGGAAGTTAAAGGTATACAATTGATATTGTACTGTAATAAAAGTATTGTTGTATTAAATTTCACTTCATCAGGTCCAACATATCTTGGCAACCACGGTCCAGCTAGCCCTTGAAAAAACCACAGGCCAGGTTTCATCCACACTCCAATCCTTCAGCTTTCTCTTTCGATACTTAAGTAAATTATTCCTTATCTTAAATCTCAGATGTTTAGAGCGCACTTTAATCACCTGCTGATGTAAACACCATCTTAAAGGCATGTTTATACTATGACAATAACGATCAACGATAAAAAGCTAAGAAGCAATTGTTCAAATAGAAAATAAAATAAGAAGTTTTCATATCAGCACGATTCGATAAAGATGTATCGTATACAATTAAAAAATATTTTCACAAATCAAACGGCGTCATAATCATAGAAAAACGATAAAATCGTAGTAGTAAAAACAATTGTTTTCGATATGAACAATTGCTTTTTAGCTTTTTATCGTCCTGACGACATCACATCATGACCATATATAGGCACATCATGACTATATATGGGCATACTATTTTTATGATAGTGTGGACAGAACTGGCACAATCACAGATTCTTTCGTGTATCGCTATAAAATTGTTACATACTGCAAATCTGAACAGATTTTTATATACATACATACACTGCGCTGATTACTAGCTGCAATATTATGGAATAATAATATAATTTAATAATTTAATCTAGTGTTCAATGTGTTCTATATGTGTTTGATCCAAAGACCGGGGTAGTAATGTGAAGCGCTCAGAGGCGTTGTAAAGGCATGAAGCGCTATATAAGAACGACATATTATATATTATTATATTATACAATTATATTTTTAATCAGAAAATTCTACAGAAGTGGACAGACAGGACTTGTTGAAGGAACTGAGGGTTATGAAGTTGTAGTGTTGTCCGAAAGCTCTGGTTCTATTTCTGGCTGTTTACTTACGTTTACTTTTTAGCTGTTGCTTATCATTTTTGTATCTCTACTGAGATCCAGCCATTGCTTCCCACAGCATTGTTGTTTTCCAGTATTTTGCCTTTTAATCTATATATATATATATACATATATATATATACGCATTATTACTACTCCTAGCATAACCATCATATATTTTTGTGATAGTAGATACCTTGGCAATCTGTTCTATTCCCTGTAGCGTCATGTCTGTTAACATATTTGACTCGATACATCTCAAAAAGACATCGTCATCCATCTTGTCTACTTGTTCTTCCTCCTAATAACACAAATAATGATTATTATTAACATTGTAATAAAAAAAAAAATCCCTATATATTGACACATTTTCACTTCAAAATCTTACACATAAACCATGCTGGTTCAAAATGTTTTAAAACCAATCTGTGCAAAGTTTTTAATCAGTTCCTAGGCAATCTAACTTTTAATTATAACAATTTAGTCCGGCCTTGCATAACATAATTTGGATGTTCCATTTCTATACATAGTTCAAAGAAGACCTGAAGTTTAGTCTCACTTTGCTTTTTGTGGTCTTGTGTCTCAAACAAGATTAGGAGGATTAAGCGAAGCTCGTATTCTCTGAATCCCATGCTCTCTTTGGTTTCGGTTTCTAGTGATATTGGACAGCGCTATAAGCGCCTTTCTGGCAGACACTAAGCGTTAAGTTTATTGTTATCACTGTAGCATTAATATTACTATCATAATACTGTTGTTAATATTAAAATCCTTTGTTATCATTAACGTTATAATAAATATATTATCATTAGTAATGTTTAAATATTTATATCTACATCATTGTTGCTATTATTGCAATTACTATATTAAAATTATCATTCAAATTGTGATGATATTATTATCATCATAAACATATGCTTAATACTCACATCGTTGTATTTATTCTCATCACTGTTCATTATCCTAATTCGAAGAACTAACTTCTCAGCATTGTCGTCGTTGAAAATACAATTCAGATCATCGCCAAATCCGGCGTTGATTTTCTCCGCGATTTGTTCCATGGACAGCTTCTTATCGGTCATACGTTTACGGTTCAGCTCAATACGTAGTAACCACGGTGAAATGCGAGATGGATCAAAATCAGGCATCTCGTAGTAAAGGTTGACCCAGTCCTGGTCCTCCTCGATCACTGTATTCTGTGGCTCAGGGTCATAGTAGATTGCTGTATTTGAAGTGACTTTCCGAAGAGTTGTGTGTTCAAGACGACAGAGAATATCCTATTATTGAATAAAATAATGATTAACAGAAACAGACAATATATTGGAAGACTAATGTTTGATTTATTGTTCATTTAGTTTTGTTTGATTATCATTCTGTATTTAATATTTAATATTTTGGACCACAAGTGAAAGAAGTTTGCTAGTTTGGTACTCTATTGTTTTTATCCTTGAATACTATTTGTTATTCAGAATAAAGAAATAAACAATTTAAAAATGTGTGCATAAATCAAATCACAATCTTTTCTTAATGTGGAACAATACTGATTAAATCAAATTAAAATATATAATGTTACTTCATACTAACACTGAATACCGTATTAATGTTCTTCATGAATTTTGTCAAATTAAAATTTCTTATTAACATTATTATTAATACCAATATCTGTATCATTTATTACTTAACATTTAATACACAAGCCTACCTTGGTTTTCTCTGCATCTCTTGCCGCAGCTCCTGTAAGAAACACAGTGAGCGAGGGCGTCTTTGGTTTTTTTGAGATGTTGATGATCTCTTTAAGACGGGGCACACCAAGCGTGACGTTCTTAGCGGACACACCAGCATAATGGAAAGTGTTCAATGTCATCTGAGTGGCAGGTTCGCCAAGCGACTGGGCTGCGAGCGCTCCACACATTTCTCCAGGAAGACCCTTAAGCAGATAATAAAAATAGTATCTTACTTTTATACCACAACTAATAATATTTTCCTTTTTAAATGTCTAAACTCTACTCAGTTATATTGCTATTTTGTTTAGAAATTCAATTTTCATTTTCTTGTGTGCAAGCTATGTAGTCAAAGTCTGTGCTAATGTTTTTTAAAAATGTTTGTCATTTTAGTTACAAGTATTAAATAATTTAAATACTAACTTTTATCATCTCACCAAAGACAGAATATTTTAATTATTACCATACTTGGCTGTTCTCTTGTTTTTACACCTTCAATTAGATTCTACAAATATTGTTTCGTGAAAATGAAACTGGTTAACAGAGTGTCTATTTGTGAAAGAGGAAAAATTGTACTCACATGTGCATGGTTGAACCGAGTCTCAATTTCACCAAGCAGCCAATCAAATGCTTCGGATGACAGGTGGTGCTCTTGCATTACTTTCTGGCTGCTGAATGTGGAACGAAGTAAACTGCTGAACAGGATGGTGGCGTTTTGCTGTGCCTGCTTACTGATGGAGTCTTCGCCTTTGACAATCACAAGCTGTTTGCACAATTTGCGGATACCTACAAAGCAAATTCAAAGAAACTTGAAGATAAACTGTGGTAATATATGAGAGGGGGTGGGGGGCACATCAAAAAAGCAATTAAAATATTTAATCGATCATTTAAATGGATAAAATCAATTAAGTTTTAAAAATGTATGTTATATTATGTGCATATTTGTATTTTTAAGTTGCCCCTGTACACGGATTGAAACAAATGAATTTAAGTATATTAATAGACTACCTCTCCCAAAATAAATATTCACTGCTAAAAGAAAAACATAATATCTGAAAAAACATACCCTCGATAACGATCAATGGATGAAGATCTGAAGTCTTTCTTGAATCGATACGGAAGATTTTCTTTGCGTTCCAGATCATACGCTGTAAATTGCATGGCAATGCAACCTAGAAAAAAACAAAATATTTTAAATAGTTAAAAATATAATACATGGTAAAATCTGGGAGAATCTAGAAAATTAATGTTATAATAATTATCCATTCATAAACTTGGCTTTCCACAGTTGAAAAAAAAAAACATTAAATGGTAGAAAAATAAAACAAACTCTCAAACAGTATTAAAATTGGGTTCCCAAAATGTCAATTCATCAAAGAATATCTAGGTAAATCCGATTCCATCACTTAGTTTTAATTGTCCTCAAGTTTACATTTGATCGGTACCCAGCTTTCAACCCAAACTGGTCTTTGCAGTGGTCCATAACGAAGCACTAACCTGATCAATTGTTAATATCAGCATATGCACAAATGAAGTAGCAACCCTGCCCCAGCACAAGTGGGAAAAACACCTCTTCACCAGCCTCTTACAGACAGCTCTTTACTGTTAGTTTATTCATCTATTTTTTATCCCATTGTCCAGTTTACAAATTGACAAAGCAAAATCCTATTTCTACTGATCTATGATTTGTAATTTGTCTAAAGTAGTGCTACAGCTAAGACAATTAATACCAATAATACCTTGCTTTCTCCAGATGGGAAAACTTCCCTTAAGATTGTCCTATCTTCCAGGAGTTGCTCCCACTCTTTGTCCAATTCAAGATGGGCGTGATTGTTTCCAAGAATGTCCCGAACTATGTCTTCATTAAGGTTTTTGCGGAGTAGCCTTAGAGAAAAAAATTGGTTATTGAAATGTTAAATAAATTTTAATGTAGATAATACACAGCCATTTTGTTTTACTTTTATCTTCATTATGCCATTATCACTCACTATTATCAGATTGTAAACTATCTTACTGTTTAATTACTTTTCGAATTATTTTTTAAAATATTATTAAAATTGTAATAATTTCTGTGGTGTGATTCAGCCCCACTTACTTCTCATTTGTATAGTCGAACTTGTATCCTTTCTCAAAAGCCTTGTGGGAAGGTTTTAACGTCGCCAACTGCTGGAACTCAACAGAGCCACCGTCTAGGCCATCTTCGCCATACCTCAACTGCACGAGGTAGTCATTGCTGTTGCGTACGGTTCCATCATATCTGATCATCACGCTCTCCATAGCTTTGATTAAACGACGCTGGATATAACCTGCAAAATTGGTATATTAATTGTGTAGAAAAATTAACATTTTCTTTAGATTTATAAGGATCGTATACAAAACCACTTAATTATTGTGATTATTATCATTATTATAACAATTGAGAATACACAATTAGCAATCAAATTTCTTATACGGTAATTCAGAATTTGCAGGAGTGAATGATTCTGGGCAGGTTAATGTGAGAGAAATCTGTTGTGCATGTTTTTATTTATTTAATTTGCATTCAACAGCAAGTAACGTAATTACAATACAATCACAAGATGGACGATAGACCAAGCCTCTTTATGAGGTTTCCTGCTGTTACGAAAATTGAACCCAGGACCTTGGGATTAGAAGGCAAGCATCCTAACCACTAACCTACACTACTCCATTCCAAATTCATCTCCATAACAGATGTTTTGATTACTATGATGATGACAATAATATTGATGATAATACAAGGATTAATGACAGCTAACAAACAATGACTGTCTTTAGGCCAGCCCGATAGCATTCCACGCTCTGTGAGGAATAAGCACTCACCTGTCTCAGCAGTCTTCACAGCTGTATCAATCAGACCCTCACGTCCTCCCATAGCGTGAAAGAACATCTCCGATGGCGTCAGCCCAGCGAGGTACGAGTTCTCCACAAAGCCACGACTCTCTGGACCGTAATCATCCTTGATGAAATGTGGCAGTGTCCTGTGTCGGAACCCAAACGGGATTCGTTTACCTTCAACGTTCTGTTGACCCACACATGCAATGACCTACAAACATGAATTTATTATGTATCACTCATTTCTATTTTTAAATTTACTATTTATTTTAAAATAATTACAACTTAAGTTTCAATACTGAATATTTACAAAGGTAGATTTTTTTTTACTGAAATAATTGCTTTTCATATAATTACCTGGGAGATGTTAATCTTTGATCCTTTTGACCCAGCCACCACCATCACTTTGAAGTTGTTGAACTCTGATAAACTCTTCTGGGCTGAGCCGCCAGTCTTGTCACGAGCATCATTCAGAATTCTGTTCACCTGAAGTGAAGAGTCATATGTACCCATTAATATTTTTTTAGGTTCTTAAATCACAGAGCGTACAGACACAAAGAACCACATATGTTACAACATACTACATGCAAGTCTAGTAACCCACCTGGTTTTCAAATGTCTGTCGTAGAGTGTTACCAGGTGTTGGCTCCAGATCATCATTATGCGCCTTCTCAATGACATCGATGACATCACGCTTGGCTTTCTTAATGGTGTTCTGGATGTCCTCATAGGTCTTGGAATCAGCAATACAATCACCAATGCCGATGGAGTGACCCTCCAGGAGCAACCAGTTGTTGACTACAGTTTGGATGTAGCCGTACAAGAGCTTTGACTCTTCATGCCCTCGCTCCATGAATGACACATGAACCAGAGATCCAGATGACGTTCCGAGGGTCTTCTTGCAGATGATACCGGAGATTAGCTCACCATTCTCAATGAGGACCTGCAATCATAGAAATATTTACAGAAAATTGAAATATACATTAGTACAAAATACCTAAATTCAGAATCTGCTGAATATATATTTTTTTACTTGTGAAATAATAAATTGAATAATAATAAAGTATAAATAATATTAACACAGGCATCTCAAATGTATATTCTACATTGGTGTGTGGATACCGAATACCTGCGTTGAGCGTACTCGACAATGAAATGTTATGCATTAAAAACAAACCTATAACTATAGAGATTCTTTGTCATCTGTTAAACTTTCTTAACACACCTTTGTGTCTCCTGGAGAGAGCCATTTGTATGGTCCTTTGTCCTCGTCATCGGGATGTGTGCTGTGGGTACGAATCAAGTTGATTCCGTTGGGAATAATGAGCGACATCATCTGTTTACCTGTCCACAGGTGTTTTGGTTTTAATATTGCAGGCTGTGGCATTTTTCCATTCCAGGTTGGCAGCCACATCAATAAATTCATTACTTGTTCCTATATTTAAATATTAAATTATATACAAAAAAAATGAATGACTATAAAATACTAAAATTATATATGTAATTTAACGTAAAGATAAACAGGAATAAATGAAATAAATGCTGAACTGTACTAATAGTAATTATATACAAGAAGACAGTCCCCTTCTCTTCTTCTTTTCCAATATTTGTAGTGAGCTCTTCAACAGACACACAAGCATGGGTGGACACAAAGCCAATAATATGAATGTCTATCTCATTAAAACTGCACTCAATAAATAACTTGCATTGAAGGGCTGGCTGACACTAAGGAGATTGGATTGAACAAGGTACTCAAGCATCTAAATGATTTTCTAACCTTACAAGTTAGAGCCCAAATCATGACTGCTGCGCCAACCATGTACTGACCAGCTTAGCTTACCTTTGTAAGGAAGACATCTCTCTTTGTGAACTTCCTGACAGCAGCTAGTGAATCCTGTACAATACCCATAACAGGTTTGTTGGACTGAGGTGTGACGATCAGTCGAGGTACTCTCATAATCTCACTGATCTCTGCTTTTGTGTCTAGTGACTGTGGCAAATGCAAATTCATCTCATCTCCATCAAAATCTGCATTGTATGGCGTTGTCACACTGTGAAAGAAAAACAAGAAATTTAAGCTAAATTATGCAGTACCATATTTTTAGTAATTCTATTAACAAATTTAGGAAATTGATATTTGATTACCTTGAGTATTTTTCTGTTAAGTTTTTATTGTGCTTATTTATTTATTTGTTTGTATTTCTTCTGGCAAAGTCATGTGCAAATATTTTTTTCATTGCATTTGTTGTTGTTTTATATTTCTTTTCTAAATGTCTGTTTGATTATTTTACAAGCCTGCAAGTGGTGATTATTTTTAGCTGTTGGATTTTGATTAGAAATAAATAAATATATGTAGATACTTATACACAAAGGTCTCTATGCAGTTCACACTATTACTAAGACTAAATAAAATTCATACAGTCCATCCTCTCCTTTGTTACGCCTCTACTTACTGAAAACCCAATTAAGGGAACATATTTTTGGCCTAGAGGGAAGGCAAAATATATCATTTAACACTGGCCAACCCCTATTCACAGGATATCCCATTTAACAGGTTCCTAAGGTGTCACAATAAGTGATTCTACTGTAACTAAATTAATTTGCCTTATTTGGTCCTGGACTCACCTGAGATTAAGTCTGAATGTAGACCAGGGAAGTACCTTGACACGATGCCCCATCATGGACATTTTGTGAAGAGTAGGCTGACGGTTGAACACAACCAAATCACCAGTCACCATATGCCTCTCAACCTACACATAGTATCAGAAAACAGTTGAAAAACAGGGCCATATTTTCTGAACAAACACGGCTACAACACACACACACAGTTGCATACTTAGGTTTAAAGCTCTGGCTACACTACCAAATCTTGTTAGACAAAAAAACTGTTGTATGTATAATACTGTATATATGGTGATCATGTGATGTCATCATGACCATATTTAGGCATGTCACATGTTTTTGTCTAATAAAATTTGATAGTCTGGACAGGACTTAAAGCTCGATCTACACTCTCAAGATTTATGTGACAAATTTGTGAAAATTGCACACATACAGGCATGATGTTATATCACGTCCACACATAGACAAATCTCATAAAATGTTATAGTGTGGATAAGAGCTTTAAGTGTCCACGAACATTTAATACGTATGATGACTGGAATCCTGCAAGATTTCCCAGGTATCTTGGAATTTAAAATTGAATACCTTGTATCCACATTGTAAGTGAAGATCACTGGGTTTAGGGTGATAGCGCAGGTCAATTCTTTCACCATTGTCACGAATGATGTACTTGGCACCTGGGTATTGATTGTCACCTCGCCTTACAAGCTCTTGCAGTCTTGTGAAAGAAACAAGAAAAATATGACGGCTATGTAAAAAGATTATTAAGTAGAAGCAGGTTTTTATAAAAGTTTATTTTTTTAATTGTGTGTATTCAGATGTACTTGACTTATTGAATATCAAATTATCATTATTTTCTTAAAATCAGAATGAAAACTGAAAAGGAATATAACAAAATTATAAATATATGTGTAAATTACATAAATTCATTTAAAAATATTATAACTGCACTTATTTATCTAATAAAAAAATTGACCATAACATAAATTACTACTTTGATAAAATTAAATATATAAATGTTAAAAAACAAATGTATCCAAATAATGAATGAATAAGTGATTGAAAAAACACATTTCCTTACTTGTCAATGTTAAATGGTGTGACAATCTCTGGATACGTCATTGTTTGCGCAATTGTACGTGGAACACCGACTTGATCAATGTGAAGATTTGGATCAGGTGTAATGACGGTACGTGCAGAAAAATCTACACGCTTACCCATAAGGTTTCCACGGATACGACCTTCTTTACTTTTTAATCTTTGCTTGATAGATTTGAGTGGTCGTCCAGATTTTTGCATTGCCTACATAAAGTAAAATAAATATAGCCGAGTTTCAAAAGGTTATAGTTCATTACCTCCAAAGTTCATCATTTCCAAATATTGTTTCCTGAATGTCATATTTCTTTAAGTCATAATTTCTGAATGAGATAAATTTCATTTATGAAGTCATAATTAATTATAAATATGCTTCATCTTTTAAAGAATACTACGAAAGATTTTCTTACACGTGGTAGGCCGGGTAACTCATTATCCGATAGAGTCGTGACATGGAATTGCAACATTTTTGCATTTTCTGCGATGATGTGTGCCGCAGCACCATTCTGTTCATTACGTTTCAACTCGTTATTAATCTTGATGATGTCAGCCAGCTTGTGAGTCAAATCATCCTGTAAATACAAGATAACAAATGTCAATCCATCAATCATCAGGACTTAAACATCCACATAAAAAATAGGCAGCTTTCGAAGGTAGGAACTAGAACATAATGACGTCACATGATGATATCATCTGTGCATGCAAGAATGTTGAGTTCTTGTCATCTGGATTCTAGGAAGCAGTTTGACCCAAATTTAATATCTATGCTGTGCAGAGAACGCAGGATGGTCACAAGCGAGCGAATCCGTTCTAAGTTACTTTGTCACGCAAATCAAAAGCTCCCTAATGTTTGGTAACACTGTGACATTCACTTAATGCAATTTATCATCCAAAATCGACCGGTCATTCTTCAAGGGGGAAAAACTCATTTAACAAAGCTGTCCAAACAAATGGAACACTGTATACTGCATTGTACAATAAAAGCTTTGAACTCTTTAGGGTGAACAACAATAATTAATGAATAAATAATTCTAAAAATAACAATAATAAAACAATAATATTAGTGTGGTAGAAGTGATTCAAAGTAATACCTGATTTCTAGCAGAACCAAACATAACTACAGCTGGACGCACACACAGAGGTGGAACCGGTAAAACAGTAATGACCATCCAATCTGGACGAGCAAACTGCGGGGAAAACCCAAGGATTTCAGCTTCTTCATCACTGATGCGCTTGAAGATCTCATGAACACGCTCTGCAGTAAGGTTAATCTTCCGCTCCTGTGAATCTTCGTTGACATGTTTCCATTCAGCAACCAAATCAATTCCTGTACGGCGGATCTTTGGTTGGTACCGTCCACAACCACCATGACCCTAGAATTATTAAGAAAAATTATATGTCATGATTCTCTTATGGTTAATCTTTTGATGTTATACATTACTTTCAGAATTTCAAAAATGAATGTATTTACTCATACCACTTAACACTCTTGCTGCCAGGAGATTGAAAAAATAGTATCAGCCACCGCCAGACTTTTTATCAAATTTTAACACTATTCCGAAGCTTGTTAAGAGTGCATGTGTGATCAGATTGACATGTAGTGCTACAAGAATTATAAACATTTTAGCTTTACAATCATAATGGTACCAAACACTTTATTCTAATCACAGTCTGTGACCCATAACAGCAAAATCAAAATGACTCACTTTTAGAGATTTACGCAATTTCGCACAATGAAGCTGAGATAATCGTGATAGTCAAGCGTGGTGTTACCAAACACGGAGATCTCTGTGTTTGGCGAGCAGATTGTTAATGACATTACCTTTGGTTTTGGTTCCATATTCTCTTCCCCATCTCTCTCAGCCAAGGTGGCATCAAATTGGTTGTCCATCTCATCGCCGCCTTCACACAGTTTCTTGCCTTTGCAAAGGTCATAGACATGGGTCATACGTTTCCGAGGCTGACCTTTAGACTTTCTGATGACCTCTTTTAACTTTGGATGCTCCTAGAAAAATAAAACAAAATTTCATAAACATTTTTTTTTAAGAAAAACAAGTTATAAATACACTATAAACTGTCAATTAATTTAAATATGCTTTAAAATAATTTAAAATATCACACAAATTACTGTGAGTTGAAGAAAAAGAAGACAACTGAATAAATTGAATTGCTTAATTTTGTATATTTAAGTAAGAACTTGCATTTCAAATAAAAATTTAAATGATAAAATGATTTTTTTGGACAATTGACACACATACACATTTGAACAGTTAAACTGGTCTACACTGACTTTGCTTAACTCATATAATCTCTAAATCGATATTATTTTACATGCCAAGTTGTTGTCTTTTCCATTAACTAACTGTAAGTCAAAATTTATCGAAGTCGAACAATTTTTCAATTGAACTGCATTTTGTATTCAACTTAGGCAAGTTTAAAGTGTAGTCTCCTGATGTGGATGAAAGCTAGAGATTAAATTTTACGAGTTGGTCTTAATAGTGCTGCTCTCATTTCTTTTATATTAGACACATACAATAATATATTTTTTTTGTATAAATGGCTACTATCTAACATAGTTCATCAATAAAATGTGAAATAAACTTTTGCATGGAATATTTATTAATTAACTAACCGGGTCTACTAATAGCTTAGAGCAAAAGAAGCAGCAACATCGAAGAGTTCTTATAATCTTTGTCATGAAAGATGCATGGAACACCGGTTTAGCCAACTCGATGTGTCCAAAATGTCCTGGGCACTCCGTCTGATTACAGGCACAGGTCTGACATCGAGCACTTCTGTCGACAGCTCCCTGCCTGGGGTCCATCAAACCATTTAGCTTAGGCTTGCCTGCCTCCATGGTCTCTGGGTATTTGATGCCACCTTCCGTCACTGACATTCGTTTCTGTTGAGGAAGAGAATAATAATGAATGTGTTCTAATGTCTGTGACCCATGTCAATGAATCGGCCAAAAATATATATTTTTTAAACCTTTCAAAATTAGGCCCTATATCACTTCTCAAAAAACCTCTTGCTTTACATTGTTAAAAATGATTTTTCTACCCGCCATGCCTTGGCCATACAGAATGCAAATTCCCTGGGAGAGGCCTAGCCAGGTTAAGCCTACTACTAGGCCTAGTTAGTAGTAGCCTAGGCTTGGCGCCCTATAGTAGGCTACTGTGTGATTTAACTTTTCAATTGGTCACCCATCTATCAAAAAATACCCACACACTAATAAAAAAATAAACTAAATAACAATGAACATTATTTAAAAAAGCAGATTTACAATACCTAGCTAGCTAATGAATAATGTTCTTATTGAAATCGGTAGGTACAAGTTGACCTGAATTTCAACAAGAGTAAATAACCTCGGTACGAGTTGTCCTAAACCCAAGTAACCACTAGTTAGGTTGGACTTTGGCGGCCTAGCTAGTTAATTAACTACCCCTGCATGGGCCTAACCTAGAGAAGAATATATTAAAGCTAGCCTAAACTTACAACTTCTTCAGGACCCAAAATGCCAAACTGCACTCTCTTCACTTCGCGCATAGGCGCCTTTGAATCGTTGAACTGAAGGGTCATTTTGCCAGCTTTTTAGTGATTTTCCCCTTCGGCTGAATATGAATGCTGACTTCAGCACTTCGTTCTTTCTCGACGTCACGACTTTTGCCGCTCTAAAAAAATCCAACACAGACAGACCAACTCAATATTCACTTATTTTTCAAAGAATAAATAAGTGGTGCAGTCAGAAACTGTCTCAGATGTTTCTCAAATGTACTTAGTATAACATGAGAGTTAAATGTCTCTGCCGCTAAACCGAGAAATGTTAAATTGAAGATATTTCTCTTTCTTCTTTATTAGTAAATTGTGATTTTCACAGCGCTCATTGCGCTAATGACATCCTCTAGAGGTCGCTCTATTTATATAGCTTGTGAATTGGACGGGTTTCATATTATTTCTCCAAAAATCATCGTTCAAAGTATCGAGGGGGCGCGCTCTGAAATTCTAATGATAAAACATTATTCAGCCATCAACTTCAAAAAATTAAAAGAAACATATCGGTCTTTATTTTCTTTTCAGTACATTTCTTTGGTAGGTTCATTATTTGCTCAAAACTTAACATATAATAAATTTTTTAAAATAGACTCAAACAATATATAAGCATGTGAAAACAAATAATAAACATGTACACACGATAAGGGTACGAGACTACACATGCGGCATCTTTTTACTGTATATTTTTAAAATTTATGAAGATATGACATTACATTTGACTTAACATTACTTGTATGTTAGGTCATTGAACATTTTTTTGTCATTTTTAAAATACTATAAAATAATGGTCTATAGCTAAAAATATTTTTTATGTGCTTTGTTTATAATTTTTAAGATTTATTTTTTGTTATAATAAACATTAATATATTTATAGGCCTATAGCTAAATATATAGCTAAAACTTTGGGCTTCTTTAAGTGAAAACTAAAGTGATAACTGTGGGGAAAGATTTAATTTTGACGGAATTGTGCTTATAAAAGTATTTGAAAATCTGTCAACGACAATGTTGTGGTAGTTCATCATTTCATGTAGTTCATCATCATCAGTTTCTGTATATACAGTAAGTACATTTTTTTTGCATAAGCTGCCTCTGTCCTGTCCTTGGTCTTAAGTTAAAGAAGTATAATGAAATAAAAGAACCCGATTAGTTTAGAAATTGCACTTACTGGCCAGAACAAAAAGTGCACCGACTCTTAGGGATTACATTTTTTTATTTATGGCATTCTAGCATACTTCTTTTCCACTGCCAAGGTAGATGTGTATAAGAGACAGATGTATGGACTTTAGAAAAACTTTATTGGAGAAGAATTTTGACCTATCAGTATATTTAAATAGGCCTAGCTATATACATATATAGGCCTATAATGTACCGGTATATTTAATATGCCTATAAATCATTCTGTCATTATGTTATTATTGATGTCATAACGTAATCATTAGTTTTCATAGGCCTATTATGCCTTGTTTATTAATATAATTTAAATATTATTTTATTAATGCTGTTTCTATTATTGTTATGTGAATGTAAATAAAAAAGGAACAACAAAGGCAACGATTTAAAACACATTCAAATTTCTTTTGGTAATTATTTCGTAAATATACAGTAAATTGGGCCGAGTTGAGTGGGGCTGAGATTACTTGGGGCCGAGTTTACTTGGGGCTTTGGCCTCCTTCTAAAGAGGAAAACATAGACCAAAGGCCCAACACAAATAGTGCATTACTGTTTAATTATACAAAATTACTAGCATTCAACTCAAATTATAAATGTTCTTTAGTGTAAAAATTATGAGAATAAACAATGGTTTGAAATCTCCATAAATCAATTGACAGGCTTAGCCCACATTTGCTCAATATTAATAGTCTGCATTGTAAATTAACAGAGCAATTCCTCTGGTGGAGCAAATAAATACAGTAAACTGTTGGAACAGCATTCTTGTCTTGATTTGAAAAGATTTTCCTTTTATTTTCGTATGGTGGCCGCACTTGAATCTGGACATGAGTTTTCCTTCATCTACTTCACATATGATATAATTATAAAACAAAGCTGTAAATAATCTCTCCAATTCTAGCTACACAATATATCACTCGACATCGTCAATCCACTAACGTCGTTAAGTTTCGATTGTTACTTCATGGTTAACATAAAAAAAACAACATCACAAACACATCATAAATTTATGCAATTTTCTTTATTATGAACATATAAATTAAACCAGGCATTTTGTGACATTAATATTGTGACATTAAATTATATAAAAAGGCAGTATTGTGAACACTACTAAAAAGACCTATCACTTCAAAAACGTAATAAAAAGACAACCTGTTTAATCTGTGTATAATATCTTTGCAATTCAATGCCGAGCAGTAAAAATCTAAATTTAAGAACATAAGAATTAGTTAAAATAAACCAAAATGCCCATGATACACTGCACCATATTGTATTTGGAAATGCGCAATGGAAACGAACATTACGGACATTAACTGTTAGTAGTAGGCCAACACTTCCTACCTGCTGTATATTTATATTTACTCTACAAGAAGGTCATGTATTGTATTAAATCTTCAAAATGCTATATTTTAAATTTCTCTGTAGTAGTTGAATAACAACTTGTTTGCACTAAAATCATTAGTGAATAAAACTACAGTAATAGTATTCAGCCCAAATAAATAATGACCCAGCAAAGAGTAAAGTAATATAGTTATACAAATAAATGTTTATGAGTGCAATGGGAAGAACATTTTCGTGAGTTGAAAGACTGACTGTTCCATTTGACGAGGCAGAGCCGAGTTGAATGGAACAGTCAGTCTTTCAACTCATGGAAATTTTCTTTCCATTGCACTCATAAACAATATACTTTATTTGTTTAATAACACACCTAAAATAGACTCTTGTCATTTGATAATTTATGAAAAAAAATCTACCTTTATTTTCTGAATGGAGATTCTAGTCATTTGATATTTTATGAAAAAAATCTACCTTTTATCTAAATAGGAAAGTCCAGCGTCTCTTTAACCAATTTATCGCCATATCGTATCCTAGGCACCACCGTGCAATGGGAAAATGCATGGATGGAAATAGAAATGCATGGTGGAACTAAATTTCCATGATGAGTGACAAAATTGGGTAAATAACCAATGTCACGTGATACGAAATCCACCAATCAAATAACAGGGATCTATTTAGGTGTGTTATAATAATATTAAATGAGCAGTTGTATTGCAGTATAATTCTCATGAAAAGGAAAATGAGGGCTAAAACATGTTTGGAGCAATTTTGAGTGAAGGGATTAAATGTAAGCTCTCTCCACACTATCAAAATTTTCCTTGACAAAAAACAGTTGCATGCCCATACCTGATGTACCTATATATGGTCATGGTGTGATGTCATCATGACCATATTTAGGCATGTCACATGTTTTTGTCAAATAAAATTTAATAATCTGGAATCTGGATAGTGCTTTAAACTCTTCCCTTCTCTAAATTTCTTCCCCTTCTCCAAACCCCTAACTCTTTTAACTCTTTTCAAACCATTTCCCTGCCCTAATATTTTACCTCTTATCCAAACCAATCTACTGTATTCCAAATCTCATGTCTGCCCTTAAACTTTTCTTTTTCTATCACTTCAACTTCCAAAGGACCCAATTCTCTTCTCTAATCATATACCCACTGGCCCTCTATTAACATGTACCTGAGTTGACATCCTATACAATATGCCTATATTGCAGATAAAACAAATTAAAAAAAAAATAATAATAAATATATAAATGTATAAAAATAATAAAAGACTAATAATAGAAAACTGTGTTTAAAATGACAATCAATCAAATGTATTAATAATATATACTGGAAATAAATATATATATATTTAAAATATTGTTTGAAGGTTTGCATGGCGAAGTATTTTGCATGGCGAAGTATTTATATTTAAAATGCCAATTTTTTGTTCTTTTACAACAGATCAGTAATAATGGATTCATCACATCAAAACGGGCATCAAAATCAAATTCTATTCCAAGGGGCCCCTAGTATTCGGCGAGTCACAAGTCTCTCGGAAATCAAGCAAGCTAGCAAAAACCTCGTGAAAACTAACCCATCTCCCACAAATTCTGCATTATTTTACAATCTTCTTGAAATCAGCTAGCACTATGTATCACAACATGCAGCGAAATAAAATTAGATGTGAAATCTCATTTAACCCGGAAGTACCTTTTTCACCTTGTGACCTTTGATTATTCACTGCAGTGCTTCAATGTGTAACTGATTTTAATATTCTCTATCCTGTTAAATAATGAATATACTTCATACCTGTTCATCAGACACACTAAATGTGTAAACACCCGATTAGTGTAGAAATTGCACTTACTGGCCAGTACAAAAAGTGCACGGACTCTTAGGGATTACATTTTTTTATTTATGGCATTCTTGGATACTTCTTTTCCACTGCCAAGGTCAAAGAAACACAGGTAGGACACCGATCAAATTCCTATATGCACTAAGTAAAAAATATGTGGATCTCAAGTTGCAACATTTTTACACTGACAGTGTCGATATGTTAAAATTGCTTAAACAGCTCTCTGTTGTTCGAAAGTTTGTTCTTTTCTTTACCTCCACATTAGTTGATACCTTAACTACTATTCAACATATTCTTCATGGATCTCTTCACAAAGAGTATATATTTCACAGTGGCAGGATGGCTAAGACAATCAAAATTAAAACTGTAACTATTATTCATTTGCTGTCAAATAATCAAAATCATAGGTGGGTGTGCAGCAAGCGAAAATTATATACAACCTATTTAAACAGCAATTTAAATGCAAAAGAAAAATTATTTGTAGTGGGGTTGAGCAAGCCTTTCATTTACATGGGTTGGAAGTCTCTCAAGAGACACAGAGTAGTCTCGTGGGAGGAGTTGACCAGGGTTGGAAGTCTCCCAAGAGACACAGAGTAGTTTCATGGGAGGAGTTGACCAGGGTCGGAAGTCTCCCAAGAGACACAGAGTAGTCTCATGGGAGGACGGGACCAGGGTTGGAAGTCTCCCAGGAGACACAGAGTAGTCTCGTGGGAGGAGTTGACCAGGGTTGGAAGTCTCCCAAGGGACACAGAGTAGTCTCATGGGAGGAGTTGACCAGGGTTGGAAGTCTCCCAAGAGACACAGAGTAGTCTCATAGGAGGAGTTGGCCAGGGTTAGAAGTCTCCCAAGAGACACAGAGTAGTCTCATGGGAGGAGTTGACCAGGGTTGGAAGTCTCCCAAGAGACACAGAGTAGTCTCATGAGAGGAGTTGACCAGGGTTGGAAGTCTCCCAAGAGACACAGAGTAGTCTCATGGGAGGACTTGACCAGGGTTGGAAGTCTCCCAAGAGACACAAAGTAGTCTCGTGGGAGGGGTTAACCAAGGTTTAATGTCTCCCAAGGGACACGGAGTAGTCTTGTGGGAGGAGTCTCATGACTTCTTGCAAGATCTCAACAAAACCAACCCATACCCCACAAATGTTTGCATGACTTTTCACTTGTATCATTAATTGCAACCCTAATGTTGTTAGCTGACTGTGCAAAATATTAAATGATCAAAGAAAGCACATTAAAAACATATATCCCTGAAGTGGCGTCTCCCAAATTGAAACCCCTGAATCTCAAACGCCAAGCCATTCACATGACCCTGTCCAGGCATGTTCACCCAGCACCGAATTATAATATGAGGGAGTGCAAAGCCTACTGTGAAGTAACAACTAAAATCAAATTTGTGCCGGCAGTATTAATGGGTATATAAGTACATAAATCACTGCCTGCATTCCAACTCATCATCATAAGAAAACTGACTGCAAATCAAGCAATTTCACACAATGTTTTGAATTCAAACTGATGAATAATTTATGTAAAAAAAGCAGTAATCCAGATGGAATAAAGCATTGGGCTCTTGCGTAATCTTGTAATTTGCTTGCATAGTTCAAGAAAAAAATCAAGGCGGTGATTCTCTTGTTAAAAATATTCGAATGTCATTACATTTCCATCATATTCCAAGTTTCTTTAACTGCTCAAACGTAACAAAGAACTGGAATAAATGTTGCTAAGGAATACAAATGAAAAAGAGAGATCTAAGAATTGTATACAGTTAAAGATGTACTGTATTGTCCCAGGCAAAATATCCAAAAAATCTTAACAACCATCTTTGAAATTAACTTGTTCATTTTCAAGTAACATATAAATTATCATCAACTTGAACATAACAATAAATGTACTTAAAAAAATTGTTACCCATATTTCTACTGCAAAAAATGATAGAAACAATTCCAATCACTGGAAGTGTTTATTCTTTTCATTATCTTTATCCAGTATAAAAGTCAGGGTACACATTTTTTAAATTCAATAATTTCTATGCTCAAGTTACTAATTTTTATGTTACTGCAAAATGAACGAAAATGAAATTTTTCAGTAAAGTTGCACAATTAAAACCAATACAGTTGCTGCTGCTGCATTGTTGCTGACACCGATGTCACCTTGTTATGTCGCTACTGCCACTGCCAATGCAGCTGCGATCACCACTGCTGCTGCTGGCATTATTACAGTCGCTGGCATTATTACTATTCCATGCTGCTCAGTGGACATCTATGGGGAGTTTGGGAGGCACACACCCCTGCGCCCCCTCAGGTTTCCCACACTGGAAATTTGCAGAGCAAAAGCAAGGCCTTCCCCATATAAATACTCCTAAATATGCTGCTGTATGTAGCCACTATTGCGCGTTGCTGTAGCCTGCCGTTAATGCATGTCAGCATTGTATTCTGTGCAAATGATGCTGTTTATAGCAATATTTAAAAGGATACGATAATGTTCCACGGTCCAAGACGGACCCACGTTGGTATAAAGCCTTTGTATAATGCAAAGAATCCTTCATATCTAGCAGTCTGAAATACAAATAAAAAAAAAAAACCAGTGTTAAAAAGAAATACTCAGATACACTTTGCAGTAACAGGACAGCCTTCCCAATGTCTAACTTTTTCATATCCTACAATTACTCACTTTACTGGTTTATTGATAATCTCCAACCAATATATAATATATAATATTTCAGACATATCATTATTTTAAAAAATAACATAGCCATAATAGACTGATAATACTACAAGATCAGAATATACAGTTGTGTATCAGATGTGTGGATGGAGGTCAAATCAAGTCTTATTAAAAATCACTAATTCTGCCATAAATGATAATTCAGAATGTCAGACAGGCAAAGGAAAAGCGTAGGATGGATATGGAGTATTGGGGCAGAGAGAGACTGGGTTTTGTGTTGATGCTCTTTCCATATTATCAATAAATTGGGAGACAAATATGTGTTATTTGCTTCATCATGCCCATATATGGACAAATCACAGCTATCTATCACATAACATTTGTAGTTTGCATTTGCAGAATGTGCATACCGTAAAACCTTGCATTGAATCCCTGAGCTTCTTCGATTTTTTACAAACTTTGGATGGGCTTCTTGTATAAAACGATAAATAGGGCCACTGTAACACTAATCTGTATCATGGAGTGTATTTAATTTATTTTGTTTCTTTGAAATTCATGTATAGTGTATGTACTGTACAATCTCGAAAAAAAAAAAAGCCAATGCTATCTTGAGTTGCTAATGGGCTTCTTTTCCAGATGGGCTTATTTTTCTGGCTACTTTTGCTAACTAAAGAGGGGAGGCTTCAATTCAAGATGGGCTTCTTCTCAAGATTAAGCCCATTGGGCTTCTATTCGAGGTTTTACAGTATATATAAGTCTGAAAATAAGAAATACCACTATACCTTAACAAAACAATCCAATGTATTTTTATAAATATTTTGTTTTTGACCTTGTTTTAATTGCACACTTTGTCTTAGGTTCTGTTGGTTCATCATCCTGGTTTTGACAACATCAATTGGGTTTGATGCCACTGCTCCAACAAAACCAGCAAAAAAACTTGCTCTGTAGAAACAGTAAAATGTTCAATAGAGATTACGTATCAAATATTTGACATGTTAGCTGCCAGGACGCAAGGGTTTGCTTAGGGCGCCAAGACCCATGTTCACGTCCATACCTGTCCAAACATAGCACTGTTATGTATTACATGTAAACTTGCTGCTAAGTACAGAAGGCAGTACAGAGAGGACCCAGAAGCAATAACCTAAAAAATATATAATTTTGCTTGTTCCTGTTTTGTTGCAATTGATGGGGTTTTAAATGATAATGTGCTGTTTCTACAAAATTGTAATATTTTTTGATATTTTTGTCGTCGTTTGTTGTTCCATAACTTTTTATACATTTTAAATAATTTTAATGTTGTTATACTGTTAACGAGCAATAAAAATTCCTTTATTATGGTGAATAAATTTTACTTTCACTTTTGACTTTGCCCTCACGCCTTGGAAATGGGCAAAAACTAGGAAAAAAAATGCTTGGCAGCCAACATACTTAATAAAAACTTGTGTGATGGAAAGACATTAAAAGTGAGTGATATAAAAAAATGTATAAATGCAGCAAATATATGGCAAAAACATAATTGCTTGCCTTGCCCCAACATTTGGCCTAGGTCTAATTCTAGGGTTCACTGCCAACCACCCCCATGCATTTTGTTAATATGGTAATGGTAACCACTGGGCTAAAATTCATGGTTAAGGTATAAAATGTACCATTTAAAGCTAGAAAAGCAGTTATTTAGGCTCCTTCTTTGGTACAAATAATTGTCAACCCTAGATTTTTAAGATTTTATGTCAGTCATCTTTGGGAAAGAATAATACAATAAAAATACTACTAATAAAACCAAAAATATATTGAATAATGTAATTTATAAACATGATAATAATTTTGATATATGATAAAGTGCACCCTCCAATTCGAGACCCCTCTGATTTGAGACCACTTTTTTAAAGAACCAAATAGCAATATTTAATCTTTTAACACAAAGCTAATCCTCTAATTGGAGACCACACCCTGAGACCACCTCAAATTTTCAGGTCCCAAATAGTGGTCTCGATTTGGAGGGCGAAATGTAGTCATAACATAAATGGCAATAATATATTTGACAATATAAGTGTAGCGGACTTACAAGAAATGAGTTGTTATACTATTGCCAAGTTGAGTATGATTAATAATTAGCCTCTTGGACCAGTCATAAGCAGGCAGCTCAACACCAGCAACGACAGCAGCCCTTTGAGCAGTTGGCCCAACACCCTGAAATAAAAAAAAGCCAAAGTTGAATGAAAGTTTCTGAACAAAATACTGTTTTTGTAAACATTTATAAAAAAATTTCTTAAGTAATATTTGATTTCATATATGAAGAAGCATATCCCGAAACAACATAAACATGTGATGAAAATAATGGTTATGATAAAGATGATGGTGGTGATGATGATAATGAATATTCTGTGGTGAAGAATATAGTATTAAATGATTATGATAAAGATGACAATGATCATGGAAGTGGCCATGCACATGCAAACAAAATTATGTGCCATTCTTGAAATATCAAGCATGGCAAAATAAATTAAAAAACATTCATGTGTAGTACGGTACCGGCAAATATTAATCAATAAATTATTCATGCTTAATTATCAAAATTTCCTCATTGAATTTATAATTTGGTGAGTATTTCTCTTAAAAACAATAATTAAACAAAAAAATGATTATGGTTAAATTTAGATGTTTATTCTATACTAACATTTGGTGGTATTATATTAAATACAGGAATATAATACATGTTTTTGGTGCCCCTCTATAAAGGCTTTAGGCAGGTGCTGCAACAATATTTTAGTCAGAGATTGGGGGCGACTTATAATACTGCAGGTCGATTTATACTGAAGGTTGAGTTATACGTTTGGTGGAATTATATGGTGGGTCGACTTACATTGTGGGTTAACATATACTTTGTGTCGACTTTAGAGAAAAATAGTAGACAAAATACACAGCCCATTAAATTTAGTAAATAGTATGTTGATGATATAGTAAAGAGGATGTTGATGATGTTTTCCACCAATTTGTACACCACTTACCCTCCATAGTCCTCGTGTACCTTCTTGTTGGTATATGTTGACAAATGATGTAACCATGGTAACATTAGAGAACCTATCACTTTGTGCCTGCATTCTCACCTATTTGGAATTAAACAACGACGATATGTTAATCATCTAAACCAATTAAAAATATTATCAGAGCTGAATCGGATTTAGCAGACTGGTACGCAATAACAATATATATAATATTTATAACATCAATAACTATAATGTCAACGTGGGGGCATGCTGCGCAGTATGTAAGACTTTGGACTTCTGATCAAGGGATCGGAAGTTCAAAACCAATGTCCGTCGCATTGCTTGTGGCCTTAGGCAAGACACTTTACCTACATTTCCCAGAAGTACAAGTGGGTACCTGGTAGGTTCGAACACAACTGCGCTGACTATTAGCTGCAATATTATGGAATTCTACCCAGGGAGTTGAGTATGTGTTCCATACGTGTTAAATCCAATGACTGGGCTAGTAATGTGAAGCACTTAGAGGCTTATGCATGAAGCGCTATATAAGACCAACATTATTATTATTAAGTAAAATAGCAATAAAAACTAAAATAACAATACAACAAAACAATAAATCCAAATAATAATAATAATAATATTATAATCATAATAACATCAACAATAACCATATTATTCACATTATAATAAATGTATGCTTATTAATAATTTTTATTTATTTCACTATGTTCACATTAAAGAGCAATGAAAGTTGCCAATTATAGAACTGAAAAAAACATTAAACCAAACCATATAAAAATGATATTAATTTAAGGTAAATATAGCTCATAATGCATAAAGACTCTACAATAAACACAATATTACTGCCTGAACCCTCATAAAGATGGCAGTGATTTTTTTTCCCATTGTGTATAAATTGTTTATTGCAATAAACAACAAAACTCACCTTCAAAACATCTGTTGGGTTTGCTATGGATGAGGATATAATGCCAGCCGCTATACCACATAAAACGTTTACTGCTAGTGTCTCATCTTCAGGCCTTTCTACTAGCAATCGTTTGAATGTATGATAGCAGCCTATTTTTATTGTTCCGTATGAGGCCTGCCGTAAAACTGCTGGACGAATACTAAAACAGAGAATATTATTTATTATTTCAAAGATCAAAATTATCAAAATATTCATAATGATATAATATTGACAATTTCTATCTACTATTATTTTTAACTTACTGTATGGCATGTTAAATGCAAAGAGGAAATGGTATAATTGTGGTCCCGACTAAATCACTAAAATTAATATTGGATGAAAAAAAAATATTAAATAATATTTACTCTTAAACTTTAATCGAAGATAAAATTAAGTCTCGCCCTAAATAGAGAGCTTTCACACAATCCTCTATTATTTGCTCTTTTATTTTCATTGAAGTATTAAAGTAAGTCTCACCCAGAATAAAGCGCTTTCACACCTTCTTCTTTGGAAATACGGAAAAGAGCGTCAAACATTCCTCGATATTTCAACTCACGAAAGTTTGCTTCAGTTTTCTGTCCTTGCACTTGTAATCTTGTCTTTGTTAAATCTATAGGGAATGTTCCTGGATAAACAAACACTTTTGTTACAGTACTGTGAATCAATTTATTTCTCAAAACATCTAACCTTAAAGTTTACTCGATAAATGATTAATATTGTACTGTTAAATTAAAAAAATCATGTAAACTAAATAATAAGTAAAAGAATAATGTATAAATATACAAAATAATGCAATTTTTTTAAAATACCAAATTTTCTGATATTGTTTGTTATTTTTTTATATACTTTGCTTCATTTTTTGAAAGAATAATTTGTCTTTTTTATGTCAATTATATATCATTTACTTTCCGGGTCTCGCACTAGGTTTCTGTGTGTCACTTGCTACATAAAATAATACTGTTTTACTGAATACAATCTTAGTAATGATAACTGCAGGGTGCAATTTAATGCAGATTGTGAAATTTTGAAAGTGTGAACAATAATTATGTGCACACACAATGGACGCAAGTTTCGTGGAGTGTGCTAAGCTTCTCTTTACAAAGCTACAATGGCAATACTAAAGTGTTTGCATAATACAGCATTCAATTATTTCCTATTGGCACCCCTGTGCAGAAATTATATAATTGATGTCTGAGCAAGGAGGTGTAAACCTCCTTGGTCTGATCAATAACCTTTAATGGATTCAAACATGACATTTAATGCTATAGCCTTTCTATTATTTAAAAGCCGCCTTTAAAATTTACTATATATTTTGAGGTAATAACATTAACAATAAAATCCAATAACAATTATTAAACTGGTTGGTTACCTATTGAATAATGTGTGTGTTGGGAACAATAACATTCAGTAGTTAAAAAACTACACTGGGTATAGTTACCATTATATATAGTACACTCTCTGCATTGAATTAACAATAATTTAATTGTTCTGCGGGAGTCTCCAGGAAATCGCGACAGCTTACCGCACTCCCGCAAGCAAGTAAGAATCTCCCGCAACTTCACAATATTTGATTGTTCTTCGTACTTTATTATCAATTGTCTCAAAGAAGTCCATGCCGATGGGTTTCACCAAGCACAGCAAAATAAAATTATGTGTTTAAGAAAGCTCATTCAACCAAATCTCCTGGAAGGGGGACTTCTTTCAACTTGGGACCCTTGCAATTGAAAAGTAAAGCATGAAACATTTTCCTTGACAATAATTACCAGATGTAAAGTATAAACAAAACTGTTCTTGTATTCTCTGCATACAGTCAACCTCTGGTAATAAATTTAATGGCTTTTCTAATAAAGTATAATGAATGGCATCATTTCTTGTAGATTTCCTTTCGTTGTTGTCAAGTACCTCAAGGTTTGTTCAACGGAGGTGCTATACAAATTGCAAATTATTATTATTATTATTCAAAACTGAGCGTGTTATATATTTCTTATTATAATATTGCATTTGTAGACTGAGTAATAGTTTTATATCTGTTGTCATTTTAAAAATGGCCCCTGGATATCAGCTTGCCTACAGGTTCAGTTGGAAAGGTTGTACTCATAAAATAAAGTTGAATTTTTGTTTTTTTAATAAAAAAAATAAATTTATATTAGTTGATGTTTAATAACTTATTTGATATTTTATAAGCAAATTAAAATTAAAATTTATTTCTGTATTTTTTGTTTTGTTTTATAGGGAGTTTTATAGGGACAGGGAAACAGTATAGGAATTATCTGGTTATTTTCTGTTCAGGTTTTTTTATAAATTGCAGCAAACATGCTGTTATCGTTAGTTAATAACTCGATACTATTTCCTAAAACCCTTCAGTCCAACATAGAACGGAAATATAATGCTACTTGCGATACATGTTTTGGCTGAAAAAAGATTGATTTAATTGAGAAACACAGATTGGTAAAGACAAAGAAACCGGAAATTAACAATTAAAATAAAATGGCATAAAACATAAACACACTATGCGTTATTCTAATTCCTTTATGCTCTAAACAACATAATTTTTACAATATGAACCAAACATTGCTAATATAGGATTAAAACAACCAACCAAGACTTTGACAAACTTACTGCAATGTCGTTGCTGCAAAAAAGCATTTGGAATTGAGAACTGCTATTGTTAATCAGAATTTTGGCTGAAGTAGTGTAAAGGATGTGGTTTATGAAAGTTGGAGAGGCGACCTTTTCACATCGCTTCAACATGAGTGTGCATAAAAACATTCAATTTCATACATATAAGCTTATTTTCTATATCAAATATTGAACACACTATGCCCTGACATAGTTGAAATAATAAACTTAAAAAAATATAATTCAGTAAATTGAATTGAGTTTCTCTCTAGCTTCAGTTGAATAGATATTTAGCAAAAAAAAAAAAATTTTCTCCTCAGTGTGGTTATGGTGAGTGGAAGTGGGCTAGGCCACCAAGCCTTGAATGCCAATATATTCAATTTCTATTTAGTAAATATAAGTTTTAAAAGCATTACATTACATTACATGATGATTTATTCTTTCTTTCGACTGGATAGCATTTTCAGTAGCCAGTACTGCTTTCAAAATGGTCCAGTTTTCTTAACAAAGTTAAGAATATAAACTGAAGTAACATATTAAACAGAACAAAAAAGTATCAAAAACAAAAAAGAAAAGAAAAAAGAAAACCCCAAATTATACAAGGCACGAAAAACGACAGAAAGTTCAAATTGCAAATAATCTTAAATAAAAATTTAATTTAAAGTAAATTATCACAAATGGTATTTTTAAATTTGACTATGGTCATATTAGTTGCATTCTTTCTGATTTCGTTTGGTAGATTAATCCAAAGTTTGGCTGATTGGTTTGTTTTCTCAAGTATTTTCCCAGTTTGGTACTAATGTTTTACTGTTTTGACTTCGAGTACATTTGGGATGGAAACCATAATTAAACATAAACATTGGAGATAAATATGATGGTGCATAACCATGTAAACACTTAAATACAACTACAAGTAAATGTTCTCTCCATTTTTCATTTAGTGGTCCAGCTTAATGTATCTAACATATTACTTATTCCAAAAGCTGAAATGAACTACTACACAAATTAAAATTAATTTTGAAGAAATGTTGACTTTTTCATTGCAAAATCATTAATAATATTTTCAAATTTTATTTTTATTTTTTATTTTTTTATTTTTATTTTTTTTATTTTTATTTTATCCTTTATTTACTTCTACTGTAAATGTTTCTCGTCACTGTACCACTTTGAAAATCAGTACTATAGTACTGAAAGTGTCTACAGTATAAGAAAGATTAAATAAATAAATAAATTATTGGAGTTTTTAAATATACAGATAGCAGAACTCTACATAAATCAGTGAAAACAGTTAATATTTTTATCGATATTAATGGAAAATTAAATGTTCTAAAATATACATTTTGTGGGATTTTAATATTTCACCACAGAGGGAATCTATTTTTCCTCCAATTATGGTTTGGCTGAGGAGGGTGAACACCCTGTTGGAGAATCTCTGGTGCATTCCCCTTTGAGTATATTCTTAACTTACCAAATTCAGCAACAACAGATGCAATTCCTCCAAAGACAAATGGCCTCCAATCCTGGGCCATTTTCTTTGGCCTTCAGTATCGCTTCCTTTCAGCAATCCAGAAAGGATAGGTTGCAACACCTTTCGATGTTACAAGAGTGTATTGCTGTTTGCAGGTTGAATGCTGAACCACTTTCCCTCTACACTAATAATTCAAAAGGAAGACAAAATTTGTTTGAAAACTGAGCAGCCAACTGGTGAAGTAGCCAACCTCTTTTATAAAGCATTACAGAATAGTAGGACTTGGCCCAGTGACGTATCTAGGAACGTTGAATGGGAGGGGGATGAAGGGGCCCTCACAGGGGGGGGGCCTTAATGATTTAGGTGAAGAGTGCTAGCTCGCAAAATAAGCTGATTTTAGGTGATTTTTTGGGGGAGTAACTGGGAGTAAGGTGGGCAGCCAGCATACCCTCCTTCCCTGCAGTAATGTAGCCACTCGAATTCGAGTCAACTCGGCCCCAAGTCAACTCGGCCGAGTCAAGTCAGCTCGGTCCCAAGTCAACTCGGTCCCATGTCAACTCGGCCCCAATTTACTGTGTATTTACTGAATATTTACCCAAAAAAAACTGAATGCAAATCCTTACAATAATTAAAACTGCATTAATAAAAAAATTAAAATAATATTAATAAAAATATAAAAAGGTATAATATAACTAATAATGACGACGATGACAATAATCAATAACATAATCATGACAATGCTATATATATATATATATATATATTCATATTGTATCAATAGTTTTTATTATGCCTTTTTATTATTATTACTTTAAATATTATTTTTATTAATGCTGTGTATATTCTTTTGATAGTTATTTCGTAAATATACAGTAAATTGGGGCCAAGTTAACAACTTGGGGCCGAGTTGACTTGGTTGGGTTGGGGCTGAGTTGACATGGGGCCGAGTTGACTTGGGGCAGATTTGACCTGCTTCCGTCCCTACCAATGACCATCGCCGGTAGGTAGAGCCTAGGCCTAGCCTCGGCCGGTCCCCTGCTAGGGCCTAGCTAGTCCTGGCCTAGGCTAAACCTAGCTAGCCTAGGAGGAGCCGTGACACCGGCGATGAGATAAAACGTATTATTTTTTTAACATACAGCAAATCACACATAGGCAGCTGAAAAGAATAAAAAAAATATGAGGATAATTATCTAACTAATCTTACCTTCTCATACACAACACCCAACAAACTCCACCAAAACAGCTGACCAACCGCTCCTCTCTCTCGTCTCAGCTCTCAGCTCAGTCTCAACCTTTCCTCTTTTCTCGCACGCAGTCAACCAACCAACATGAATACTAAGCCTGATGCTGTTAAATAAACTGCTCTGATTGGGTATCACATAGGCTAAAAATTACAGATAGCCAATCGTTTTCTCTGACAGTTTACAGATACATTCATGACATGTGCTCTGCATGTTTGTGGTCAACAAAAACAAAAGTGTGTTTTAATTTTGGATTGATTGTAAACAATCGGAAAATGTAAGATTGAGCTTGTGTATTATTTATTATGACTCAACTACATAAGTGAACAATTAACCATTTCGGTAGGCGAGAGAAAGAGAGAGGAATAAGCCTAGGCTAGGCCTAAGTAAGTGCATGCAGTGACTACGACGAGTGGGGGTATGAGATGGCAAGTGCAAAGTCGTTAGTCAATTCGTACCATTGTAATATTGTGTACAATAATAAAGGTTGTCGGAGGAGGGCGGAATAAAAATAAAATTTTGTTTTCTTATTCAGCAAATAGTTTTGCCAAAATCATCTAATTCTAGGCCTAGACGGAGAGAAATTAAAAATAAAATTTTATAGGTAAATGTAAAATAGGATGATTAAATGCTTTAAATTTATATAATTAAGAAGAAATATACATATCTTATCTTAGGAGATTTCAAGGCAGAAGAGGGTGTAATAAAAATAAAGAAAAAATTTTTTTTTTCAGAAATTTCCACTTTTTGGCCAAAAATATAATTTTATTCTTATTAAAAATCATCAATATTTGCAGTCAGCGGGTTCGCTAAACAAGGTATAAAAAAAGACTTGCCTAATGTTACCAAATTTGTGAGATGCCAGTTCTAAATTAAACCATGACTTCTTGTAAATTTTAAAATTGATTTTGTATTCAGAGATGGCAACAACTGCTGTAGCCAAATGGGCTGATGGCCACACTGACTCCATCATCTCTGTAGCACACAACAACAGTACCTTGGCATCTGGTGCAGAGGATCATCATATTTGTCTCTGGTCAGATGAAGGAAAAGTTCACTCCAAGCTTAATCTTCAAGATGATGTCACAGGCATATGCTTCCAGACATCTAACCCAAATATACTCTACGCTGCAAGTGGAAATAAACTTAACCTACTGGACATTCGTGATTTTAACCATGTTCAGAGTTGTAAAGAATTTAATTCTGAAGAAATAAATCAAGTTGACATCAACCAGAAAGAAACATTCATTGTAACATGTGATGATTCTGGCGCTGTGAAAGTTGTTGATATGAGAGAGATGCGATTGTTTAAGACATTGCAACGGCACAAGAATATCTGTACGTCTGTCAAATTTCATCCAACGAAAGGCTGTGAGCTTATATCTGCCGGTACAGATTGCATCGTGAACTCTTGGGATTTTATTAAAGGTCGCAACCTTGGCTCACTTGATATGCATGAATGCCAATCAACTGAGGATGATAGCATTCCAGCTGAGATGTATATGGTCAACCCCCCTCTTGTTTATTCAATTGATGTCACTCATGATGGGTCATCGGTAATATGTGGACTTGAAAATGGCAAGGTGCAAGTACTGGAATTGGTTGGCAGGGGGAAGTTTGAACCACTATGTGATCTCAGTGGTCACAGAAGAGGTGTGTCAAAAGTAGAGATATTTCAGGCCAGGTCAAAAGAATTCATTATTTCTGGTGGAAATGATGGAAGGGTTATTTTGTGGAATGGTAGTGAACAAAAATATAATCCACATACAAATCACAAGAGGAAAAGCAAGAGAGAAGGAACGGGAGGAACTTCCAGTAAACCTATGAAGGACTCCACAGCAGGAGCTTCCTCACCCTCATACACAGCAGTTTCGCAAATTGAACATGGTAACAAGATTAACTCTTTGATGGCGGTGGTTGAGAATAAGATTATTATTTATGTTGTTGATCAGACAGAAAACATCAGTTTGTATGATCTATCAAAAAGCATTGGTCTTTAATCAGCACAAACAAAAGTCATATTTACAACAAGAGCAATCTCTCCATAGAGTGCATACCTCTGCCCTGTGCCTGAATACTGAACAATATGCAGGCTGTGTATGATGGTCGATTCCATTATTTTCTGTCCCGTGCCTCATGAATACTGAACAATATGCAGGCTGTGTATGATGGGCGATTCCATTATTTTCCGTCCTGTGCCTGAATACTGAACAATAGGCAGGCTGTGTATGATGGCCGATTCCATTATTTTCTGTCCCGCTCCTGAATACCAAACAATATGCAGGCTGCGTATGATGGGCCATTCCATTATTTTCGTTTATGCTCAGGAACTAAAATTTAAAAAAAAAATTAAAGGGAGTTTTGGTGACCTTGACCTTTTCTTCCTAAAATTTAATCATTTCTTTATGTTTTAGCTGTTCTTGTTTTTTTGATGTATATTGTAATCATTTGTATAATTTTTGTTTTTCGGATGCACCTTTGTTTGCCACTGATGTAAAAGTGCAAGTCCAAATAAATAAATAAACAAATAAATAATGTACTATTTCCACTAAATTTTATGATGAACCATTCATTTTTTTTTTGCATAGTAATTACTAAAATACAGACATCAGTGAATACAGTACATAACATCCTTTGGCAGGCGTAATAATGTTGGATAATTTTGATGCAAAATACTGCACATGATAAACCTACTCTTCGTCTTCTTTGATTTAGAAAGGTATTATATACTCAATATACCTCCGATAAGTTTTAAAATTACTGTGTAATCAATATTATATGAAGTAATGTGCATATTGTAGAACCAATTAATCAATAATAAACCAAGCGCAATTTGATGTAAACTTACTGCAAGCTTTCATCCATGTTGTCAACATGACTTCATGAGCTAGCATCTGTTGTTTGTGCTTGGTTTATTATCAATTAATAAACAGATCTACAATCATTATATAAGCAAACCAGATGAAACAATTTGAATATTAATGTCCATATCGTATATGATTAAAATGTCTTTATATAAATAAATTTTAAAAAGCTCAACACTGTTAGTTCATGGAATACTTTGTGTAAAAGAAGATGTACCATCTGTCTTAAAATCTGGAAAATACTTCCAATATTCTCCATGTTATTGTTGATGTGTTGAGGAACCTGTCTGCATTTAGGTTCCCCACTGTCTGTGTCAACCAAACATGCAGCCAGCACACTTGTTAGGCATATTGTGTTCAATTTCATTACGGTAATTATTTACAGCAACATTCCTCAAAACTTTAGTTAGCCTGGGGTCCAGACCCTAACTTTGGGTAACTCACTCTTTAGTGCACACATTACATAATTTAATTGGCATCCCATACTTGATTTCTTTATTAACTTTCTCATTGGTGGCGCTGTCCAGAATGAGAAAAATAATAAAAAATAAGAGACTTGCGGAAAGTCTAACCTTCAGTCTGATGAGCCAGTTAGGAAATTCAAACATGAATCGTGGGATTTTATATTTAGATTAACATACTGTAAAAAAACAATGCAAAAAAATTTAAAGAGAGTAACAAAATTACAGTAGAACTCCTATTAATGAACACATGCATTACATATGCCTATACCAATGTTAACTCAGAGGAGAAAATTCTGGTTTTATATCGCTCAAAAGGTGTCAAAATATAAAGTTAAATGAATGAATCTTTCTTATTTTGATACTGCTGTACTGTTGTGATACAATGAAAAAAAAAATGTCTGCTTAATAAGATTATATTTGACCATTTGGCACACTCAAAAAGTGTCCCAGTTCCCTTAATAGGGGTGTCCCATAATAGGGACTGGCCGTAGTGTCAGTGGCGGCGCTAATGGGGGAACAGGGGGTTTAAGCCCCCTATCGGACAAGCAACTCCTCCGTCGGCCAAGCTTGTCGGGCCAAAACCAATGTTAAAATAGGCCTACATCAAGCTAACAGTGAAAACATTTTTCAGTCGTAGAGTACCTTATCAGCCATCCAGAGGTCCCTATTTTTTTTAAAAATCTCATTTGGGAGGGACACAAGATCAAGCCCCCTGTCAGACAGCTTAGGCCCCCCACCCCAGAAATGTATCCTAGAGCCGCCACTGCCTAGTGTTACGATATATTTCCACTTGTTTCACAGAAAAGTGTCCCCATAATAGAGGTTCCCTGAATAGGGGTGTCCCAAAGGAGGGGTTCTATTGTACTGTATAATGAACAATGATGATGGTAGCCTGGGGTACTTTGTTGTGTGATGGCAAATGAACAAGTATGCAGATTGATGGCTTCATTGTTAAAATAACATGTTTTAAGACTACCCACTAAAATATTTTTTCTAGCCACAGTTTGTGGAACGTTAATTTACTACAGTATATGCTACCAATTGAAAGAGATTGCCACAAACAAAATACATGATAACATAAAAGCCTTCATAATGCCAAAATATAACAATTTTTAACTTTATTCTCTAGGCAGTTGCCTACCAATTTACATAAACTGGCATATTTAGTTCATACTGTATAAATACAAATTTTGATATTATAGAGACCAATACAGTATATATTACAGTATATACAATTGGAAATGTTCAACATAATTTTTTTCAGTTAGAATTTCAGTCTTATTAAATATCTTTATTTTATTACCTGATGTTACAGTACCATCATTATAATTTGTAGTTTGCACTGCGTGTGCCGTATCCAAGGTCAATCGACATAAATCTATGTTGTATGTATGTTCAAAATATGAATTGGCTTATTGATGATAAGCGGCCACAATAATTTAATTTTTAAGCCTTTAAACACTCGCACGCACCTAAGATTGAAACAGTGTGAACCACTTCGCAGTTCATTGGCAGTGAAAGCTTGGGGATCTAAGAATGGTCAGCGCATGGCTCAACTCCCGACCATGAGGTTCATAACCTAAATGAAAATCGCTGCGCCAGTCTTTAATTATTTGATTTGAAATGAGTTGATTAGAAATAATTAGGAGACATGATCATATCTGGCTAACATGTTTGAAGTGTACACAATACAACTGCAGACTTCTCATCCATTTTTTTATCTTCCTGTACAGAATACAGTAGCTACCATACTTCTTGCATCCTGATTTTGGTAATGTACCCATCAATACTTGACAAGATTTAAAGAAAACAATAAAATATAAACAAACGTGAAAATACAGTAACAACTGAGGATTGTTGTGCTGCTTCTCCTTCAGACTTCCTTGATTGTCTATATGCACCATTATGAGAAATTAAATTATCTTATCAACAATAATTTCTAAATCCATGTCCATCTTGTCTGTACAACTAATCTGGTGTTGATTGAGTCTCCAAAAAATACAAATAGGCAACTTGCATACAGTAGAGTGTGCATTAGATTGTAATGTTACATCATAATGTCTGTTTTTACAATCAAGAATCAGCATTCTTAGAATATGGTCCATTTCCAAATAATACTTTTCCTCTGTGCTTGAAGATGTAAAATGATGGACAATTTCCTACAGTTTCAAATGATCTGTGGAAAGCAAAGTATTTGTGTTAATAAAACAACAATTTTTTTAAGTGATCTGATTTTAAGCCAGGTTTACGTACATGGGAATGTAACAACATATTGTATTTTGCTTTTAAGTCTGTGATTTATTAGCAAAAATGCCACTTCCTTTTTCATTCTTCTTTCACTTCAGATTTTGGGAATTAGAGGGGTTTTTTATTAACTACTTAGACAAGACTTTGGTTTCGCAAACTTATTTTTTTTTTAAAGATTGTCAAGAGGAGAGCGGAAAAAAATTAAAACAAAATTTTGGATTTTCATAATAGCAAAGAGTTTTGCCAAACACATCCAGACAGAGGAAAAAATAAAAGTAAAATTTTATTGGTGAATGTAAATACTGTAGTATAGTAATGGAATGGTAAATGCTTTAAATATATATACAGTAATTAGGAAGAAATATACATATCTTATTTTGGAGATTTTAAGACAGTGGCCGGTATAATAAATATAAAGAAATTTTTTTTCGAAATTTCCATTTTTTCTTTTCTTGCGGGTGTGCTAATTGGCCAAAAAAAATTGGTTATGAGCATTTAATAATTTGTTGGTTTTTTTATTCAAACTTGCAGATTTTAACTGATGGCAGTATAGAACTAGTATTCTGCTGCATCAGTTGTAAAGTTAGTTAAAACTACTCTTTCTTACTTCTTTTCCATGTCATCTGCAACTCGTATATTTTTGTACTTGCCAGCGATGTGTAATATTCCATATGCTGTAATTACTAAGCTTATTAGACTTTGTAGTATAATCTATATAATAGTAGAAGAAAAATAAGTAATACCGGTAGATAGGCATGTTTATTACAGCTAAATATCACATCATCTTCAGTGGTGGATCCATGGATCAAAATAGATGGGGGCTCCAAGGAAGGATTGTCACAGAGATAGGTCAATACCACCTCCCTCAGCCCCACCACGGTTAGGGATGAGGGGGAAAAATGTGATTACTGCCCCTCTAGACGGACAGAAATGGCACTCTCAGACTTAAAATTTAATATAATTTTCTTTTTTTTAATAATTTTTTTTGTATTTTGAAAATTACCAGGAGAGGCCTGGGCCGGCTGGTCCCCCACCCCCTGGAATCTGTCACCGATCTTCACAAAGAAGAAGCGGTTTGGCGCAGCGGGAACAATTTGGTTTCCCAACCTCAAGGTGGGGGTTTCAATCCCTCGCTGTGCATTTCGTTTGTGTCCTTGAGCAAGACACTTTATCTGCATTGCTTCTCTCCACCTAGGAGTATAAATGGGTACCTGGTGGGGTTGCCTGCTCCTGCACTGATTACCAGCAGCAACACTTAGCATGTGGACCCAATGACCATGGAAAGGAACTGCGCTTTATAACCACAAGGAAGAGGCGCATTATAAATGCCCGTACCAGTACAAATAAATGAACACTATCTCTACACTTTCACAAGTTCCCTTTAGCTGCTAAGGGACCCTCCTTTCAGGATTACATTTTTTTGCCTCTTTATTAGCTTTAAGATTTGAATAATTCCTTGTTAATTTAGAACACACAAAACATTACACTAAATTTTACATCTTTTAATTACTGTTAATTTGATTTATATGTTTGCTATTAATTTTTTTTGTGTGTGTGATCCGCTAGTGAAATCAGTCGCTGTATCACTTTAAGTGCTAATCACATTAAAGACTGAAAAAAAATAAAATAATATGCACTGTATTGGTTTTTGTGCTTTATAGTATATTGCCACTTAAAGAAGGTTCCTTTTGTACTGGTGTGCAAAATTTATGCATCCACTGGGTCGGTTAATGGTACAACATTGCAAACAATTTTCTTTCGGGTGGTGAGAGATGAAACATTAATACCGAACAGTACTTTAAAAATAATTACTTTGCAACAAGATAACAAAATGATAAAAAGACAATATTTTGAAAAATCAGATTTAGTTAATTAGATTAAACAACCAATTCTTGCCAATCAAATTGGTATTTCAACAATGTGTTGTCTTTGTTGTGCAACAAGGTAGTCAATTATTTCCACTTTTTCCCCCTACCCCCAACGGCACTCGAGTATTACTAAATCCTTTCCGAGCCACTGGGGCTCATAGGGCTGAAGCTTATCTCCAGTTTCTGTAGTGTGAAGCGGATGAGAGTTGTACTCCCCCTGGACGGGACACTAGTCCGTCGCAGGTTAGTCCCCAGCAGTTTGCTGGTACCCATTACAGCTGGGTGGACTGAAGCAATGTAGCTAAAGTGCCTTGCCCAAGAACACAAGCGAATCTGCACAGCGGAGACTTGAACCTCCGACCTTACGATTGAAAGCCATCTAATTCTCAAGAGTAACAGAATTTAACTTACATCTGCAGGTAAGTTTGTAAATTCTTGTTCAGTAAGTCTTAAATATGTTCTATCTGTAAATGAAAAAACAACTCTTTGTGAATTCTTTGAACAAATTCATTTGGAATGAAGATAAACTGATAATGATTCTGGAAACTAATCCTTTTGTTTGGATTAATTTGGTCATCCTGAATCCTGATTTTTTTTTATTTCTATGAAAAACAAAGTGAGTAACATTCTACTTTGGAATCTCAAAAAAGAATCGACATTAATAGTTAATTTTATTTTTATTCTAATATTAATATTTATTTATTCAGGCTAGTTTTAATATCCAGCCCAGTTCTAGGCCTAGTTTAAAAAAGGGCAGTGGATACAGTTACACCTGTCTAAAACCAATTCTGAGGATGTTAAAACTGTCCAAATCCAATTCCTACACACAAAAATATGCAGAATTTGGGATTAGGTGTAACAATAGACAGTGAAATATACACTGCCTAACTAAAAAAGAAAACATAAAGAGTGTCCTGCTGTAATCCTGTCATGATGATGGCCTATTAGGCCTACTAAAAAAAATAAAGAACTTTTGCATTTAATAATAATAATAATTATAATTAAATATAAAAAATTTATTTTTCAAGAATAACTAAAATTAATAAAGTTAGTATATGGAGTTTTATTAATTATAAATCATTTGTTGGTATTGGGTAGGCGTTGGCCTCTCACAGTGATAGACCATGGGATTCCCAGGCCATGTGCTAGCCTAGGCCTAGTCCGAACTAGGGCCTAGGTATCAATGAGACTTTTGGCCCTGTCGCCTGCTGTGGCAAGGAAGGCGAACCGAATAGGCTACACACGGTAAAACAGTCGTTCTGAGCCTAGAAACATTAAGCGGCTGCAATAATGTATAACAATTGCATTTAATCGATAATAAATATGTTAAGAACGGAAAATGAAAAACTTATGTCTATATGAAAAAAATACTAACGTTGTGCTGCAGAATAAGCAGAATGTGTTAAACTAATTATACCAATGAACACCAGAAAATGATAGAAGGACGCCATATTTGTTTTTACGGATAATTATTTTTTCAAACTCAAAGTAGGCTAGGCTTATATAAACTTGACTATTATATACCTATTATTAATACAAATATTTTAAAAAAATAATTAATATGTACATTACAAGTTAATTATTTCCACTTTTATTGATTTATTCACTTCCTTTTTAAAGACTTATTCATACATCTGTATAGGTCAAAGTTTAATGCTCTACCGATGATAGCTAGCTCCCGATCGACGACAAAACCACCACAGAGAGATCGAGAGATCAGAGAGATTCGCGAGAAGAAAAGTGCACGCCATTGGATACCTTAAACAAAAATTTATTAAACGCTGGGTAGCCTAGGCCTAGTGTCCTAATAGTAGCTGGTGGAACGAAGTTGTATTTGTTGCAATGTCTGAAGAATACGGTAAGTTAACTGTGATAATAAACTATTTTAACATTAATATAGATAATCAAGGCATCTCACCCAGCGGTTTTTTAGGCCTACAAAACCCAGGCTATGCCTAGATTAGTAAGTAGCCTACCCTAGGCCTAGGCCCTAGTAGTAGTTGCCTTGCTAGCCAGTAAGAAGTAGCATACCCTACCCCCAGGCCTCATTTGGCCGGTCTCTATCTTTGTCTAGGTATGCCTAGCTAGGCCTAGAGCCATTCGCTCTTAGGTTAGCTCTCTTTTTATTGTGATCCTGTTCTTTTCCCCCACATACAGATAGTGATGGTGGAGGAGGAACACCAGTTTTGGATGAGCACAGTGATGGGGAAATTGAGGAAGAGGATGTTGAGGTGAGAAATGCTTCACCATTCACAGGAATAGTAGTTAATGATTCATGTTTTTAAAATGGAAATCGAATTCGGACTTTTATATTGGACAAAAAATGTTTGATTTCATATTCATATTGTTTTTCAAATACATCATTAAATATTAAATACACTGACATCATGCACATTTTACATTCTGATTGCATGTACTTAAAACATAATTTTCCCCACAATTTCTGCACTCCCTATTATATGATTATGAGACATAGCTTCAAGCATAACTTTTCATCCTATAAAAGTGGCATATAACAAAATGAATGTAATGTTTAGGAGATATTTATTGCATTTGATACATACTGGAGCACTGTATACTGAGTCTCTATGTACTGAAAATTATTAAAATAAATTGATATCAATTCCTACTTACAGGAAGGAGAATGCTTATCAGAAGTTGAAGATGGATCAGAAGAGGGCGCTATAGTTGAAGGCCAGGAAGAGGAAAGACAAGAAGCTGATGGAGAAGTTCAGGATGATGAAGAAGATGAGGGTGAAATAGATGAAGGAGAAGTAGTTAGCGATGGTGAGGAAGAGATGGCAGAAAATGATGCAGAAGTAGTAAGTGATGGGGAATATGAAGGAGAAAATGAAGTGGAGGAGGAAGGGGAAATTGAAGATGGGGAAGACAATGAAGAACAAGAATATGTTGAAGAAAACGAGGAGGAAGTTGAAGATGAAAGAGAGGTTGGGTATTCTAGCAACCAGGAAGCTGAATATGAACAAGCTGAATCTGGTGAAGAACAAGGGGAATTGGAAGTGGAAGAAGAAGTAGAACAAGAAGAAGAAGAACAAGAAGAAATCGAAGAAGGTGCCATTTATGAAGAAGGGGAAGATGACCAAGAAGATGGACTAGTAGAGGAAGGTGAACAAGGTGAACATCAGGAATATGAAGCAGAGGAACTTGATGAAAGTGGAGAGCAGTATGTCGGTGAAGCTGTTGAGGACCAGGAGGAAAATGATGAGGAAGAGGATGACAGGCAAGGTGCAGAATTTGAAGATGAGAATGAAAATGAGGGAAACATCGAAGAGGAATATGATCCAGAAATTCCACTAGATGGAGAGGAGGAAGAAGTAGATGACCAAGCAGAAGAAGGTGAGGAAACAAATGAAAGAGAGAGCGAGACGGTTTATCAAGGAGAAGACGAAGCGGAATGGAATAGAAGTACAGAAGAAGATGTTTATCAAGAAGGAACACCGCCATCACCAGTTAATGACGATGAACAAGATATCGATGAAGGGGACAATATTGAACAGGAAGGGGATCAAATTATGACTGTCGAAGCAGCTGAAGAAAATAATGATGAGCGGAAGGAAGAAGAATTAGAAGAACAAGCAGAAGGTGATTTAAACAAAGAGGATGTGATGGCAGAAGATGCAGATCCCTCACCTGTGAATGATGAGGACAATGAGTATAAAGGGTCAGAAAATGATGGAGAAGAAGCTATTAATAATGGTAATTTTAATTGTTTTGTATATTATTGTTGTTATATTTACAGTTTTAATGTGGGACGCTTGAAAAACATTGCTTTTTTCTTATTATTATTCTTATAATCAATTGATTGATTGATTGATTTTCAAATCCTATTTGTTGTTTTGAGGATTTTGTGCCAGCTAATTGTCTAGTATTCTAAATTAGAATCAAATGCAAAATATCAATGACATACCAATGTTTCTCTACATTGGGGTTTTTTATGGTACTGCTCACACTGTTTCTATAGAATACTGAAAATATAAAATCCTGTGCATGTAGTGATAAATAATTTAATAATAACAGTTTAAATTTCTTTGTTCAATTTGGAAATGCAGAGGGGTACATTAGCATTTTAAACTTGTTATTTTGAAACTCTTACAGAAGAAACAGAAGCAGTGAATGAAACGAACATTGGACAGCGGTTAAAAGATGATAGTGGGGATGAAAGTGAGGAAGACAAGTATGTTGACTGATCTTAAAATTGATTCAGTAAATATAAATGTATTGTATACTGTATATAAATTATGCTAACATAGTTTTTCCCCCAAAATTTAATGAAACATAATGTGTCATTAAATTTTAATTAATTTCTTGTGTTGTATAGTAAATTTTAACACTGAATGCTATCACATTATTTTTTTATGTATATTAATGCGGATATAGTGATAATGACACTAGAGCTAGCTGGGTTTTTTTAAAGTTTGTCACCTACCCAAATATTTTGGCAACCCACTGGTGAGTTGTGGCCTACGGTTTGTAGGACATTGCTTTAATTATATCTTAGGTAAAACAGCTTCTGTGTTTTATTTGCATTTTATTGGTTAGTTTGGTTTTAAGTACCAGTATATTGTCTTTTTTTTCATTTGTTTAGAGAGGAAGGTGAGAGGGAACTTATTGCCGATATTTTTGGCTCAAGCGATGAAGAAGAAGGCGAATTTGAGGTAAGACACTGTGTGTAGATCCCTTTCTTGTGTGTTGCTTCTAATAATGGGGTGTGGGAGAATGTGGAACTAAGTCCCAATTCCAATAAAAACTTAATGGTCATTTTTAGTATTCTATACCACTCAGTGGAAGTAATGTAAT